CTTTTTTAAATCCTTAATGTGACGGTTAGGTCCAACTGTGTTAAACTAAGCCGTGCTGGGTTTATTATTAGCAGATTGCATAGGGCGTAAACTGAGCGTTGTCGAAGTGTCACGTTTCTTAATAGTAGATTCAATGCATATCAGGCTTAATTAATATAAAGAAGTTATATTAATAGCTGGTGAGCTAGAATCTATAAAAGTGCTAATAAATGTGATCTATATACTTAGGGTCGTTATGGGGACTGATGGTAGAACGGGATCGGTCCCTTATGGACCGGTGATATTTATGCATCGGTCTGGATAGACCGTTAAATAAGAGTCTTCGGTCCTTATCTTATTAGTGGACCGAACTGTTTGGAAGGTCGGTCTAATTTAATAGAGCAAGTCCTTTTTCTGTAATTAGGGAAAAAATAATAGGGTTTACGTAACGTAACCGCTAGGGTCATAACACTTAAGCTTTTATTTTTTATATTTAAAGAAATCTTTATTAATTAAAAGGTTTTTATAAATAAATTATATAAATAAAAAGATCTTATAATTAAAAATTATTATTTTAATATAATATAGTTAATAAGCGAGCGTTGCAGATAAGTAAGTGTTATACTTTCTTCTCTTATATCTAACTTTTTATTTAATTAATTAGTTCTTAACTACTAAAGATATCCTAATATTTAGATAAAGCTAGAACCCTCCTTGCCCTTTAGGCCCTTTAAAATAACCTAAAATTAAGTACCCTATATACTACTAAAATATATAAGATTAATAAATACTGCCTATATTGCTGGCAGTAAGGCATTTAATTATAATATAATTCTATTTTAAACTTATAGAAACTATCTAATTTAGAGGAGTAAATAATAATCTAATTTATTCTTAACCTAGATTTATAAGGATTTCCCTTATAATTGCATTTTATAAAAGAAATAGCTAATTCTTTATTTATAGATTATAATATATTACCTATTAGTAAGTACTAGGCTTATAACTTTATAAAGTAATAACTAAAGCTAAAAATATATTTATTTTAGAGATATAACTATTAGAGAGCTAAATATAAAGATCTAATTATTATTTATAACTAGTTTAGGCTTATATAGAATATAATTATAAAGTATAATATTTAATTAAATAATATCTAGAACTTTAATAAAACTGGCTTTATAATAGTATAACGGAATAGGTTCTAAACAGGTAAACTAGTCCGTACTAGGTTTAATGTTTGCAGAGTTGTAGGGCGTTATACTGAGCAGTTGTGAAGTGTCACGTCTCTTAATAGTGAATAGAGCGGGTTAGGCGTATTCAGGTAAAGAAGTCTTATTGATAGCTGGTGAGCTAAGTTCTATGAAAGTGCTAATGAACGTGGTCTATATACTAGAAGTGATCTGTGAGGATCACTGAGGCAGTTGGATCACGGTGATCCTGGATCACGGTAGTTCCTGGAGCGTCGTGCTCCTGTCTGTAAGGTGATCTAGCTCTGATTGGTCCGTAGCCGTTGCGGGGCTGATGCCTTGCATGAATTTTTGTGGGGTACACGTGACGTAACCGCTAGGGTCGTAACAAATAGGCCTTATTATGGCCGGAATAGCTATTATAGGTTTAGAAAGGTAAGGAAGACTAAAATTAATATAGCCTAGAAACCGGAAATAGATTACTATAATCTAGGCGATTAATGCAGAAGGTTAATTAATGGCGCTATTTATTATTAGTGCAGGCTAATATTACCTTACTAATTAGTACTGAGAATATAACCTCTTAGGCAATTAGGTTATTGCAATAAGCTAAAATAGGTAGATAAATAATAAGCTAGGTCTTAAGTAGCTAAAGTACTTTAATTAGTCTATAACTAAATAATTAAATACTTAATATTATCTCTTAATCCTTAATAGTTATAAAAGCTACTACTTGGCTAATTTTAAGAGATATTATAAGGAGAATAAGATTATTATACTTTATATACCTGCTTATATATCTTATTTACTTTAGCCACTTAATGTTAAGTACTTTAGGCTATTAAAATAGGCTTATAGTTAAGAAATAAAGTATTTAATTAGATACTTTATAACTTATATTTCTAAAACTAAGTTTTTTTTTACTTTTTATATTATATTTAAAGCTACCTTTATAAAAAGCAATATCTAGGGGGGTTTTAAAGGAGCTAGGATTACTCCTCTTAACCTAGAAACTGTAATCTTAAAGCTTAATATATAGCTACAAACCCTAACGCCTCCTAAAGAGGCTACTTAACTATTAATACTATAGGCTTTAAAGACCTTAAAGATAGTAATTAAGGCCTAATCTTAATCTAAATATCTTAAAAGATAAATTAGAAGGCATTATAATAGCTCCTTAAAGTCTATTATTAAAGCTTTAAAGTTAGCTATTAAGGCAATAAAGGCAGTTATATATAAGGTTACCTTATTAAGGGCTAAGCTTTATAATCTTTAAGATATAAATAAGGTACTAAGTCGGCACTATAAGGTAAAAAGGATTAAATTATTAAAAGGAGGGACTATAACTATATAGGAAATATTATAAGTAATTAATTAAATAGATATTAATACTTAAGTAGTAGCTAAATTATTAAGAAGTAGTAGTTAAGGAAGGTTAGAGCGACTAGATAATCGGTGCTATAATATATACAGTAAGGGCAGTTATAATGCTAGGACTTATTAGGTAGTTCTTAAGTCATTTAGGGAGGAATTTAGCAAGTAAAAGCCAGCCTTTTTAAACTGCAGCTTAAGCTTTTAAGCTATAAGTTAAAAAGGCTAAAGAAAGTGCAATGCTTGCTTATCTACAACGCTCGCTTATTAACTATATTAATTAATATTATTTTTATTAAATTAGGCTTTTTTAATATTTATAATTATTATATATAATATATTATTTTTATTTTTATTTTATTTAAAAGCTTTTTTAATTTTAAGGATTATATTATAGCCTTTAATTAAATAAGGCTTATTAAGCCTAAGTCCTTATAGGCTTCTTTAGATAGCAGGTATTATAATAGGGCAGCTGTAATGCTGTTAGCAGTTGCGGCTAGAAGAGGGAAAGTCGGGTTGGGTTAGATGACTTACTGCGTAATGGATAATTAAAGCATGGTATTGTCTTAGCCTTTTAGGTGGGTTATAGGAAGAAGGTTAGGGCTAGTTAATAAGTAGGGCTTTTTAGCTAGTATATATATAGCTAGGTTTAAGTTATAATTAAGATAGCTAATTATAATAATTTAACTTAATAAAGCTTTATTAGCTATAGGGGTAATAAATATTTAAATTATATTAAATTTTAAAAATACTTAAATATACCTTTTAAGGCTAATTTATAAACTTAAAAATATATATATATATATATATATATATAATATTAAATTATAAATAAGATATTTTAATAATAAGTTTATTTAATTTATATTTAAGTTATTTTTATTATTTAAGTATAGTTATTTATTTTATAAGTTATTTATTTTAAGCTTAAATTAAATTTAATTTAAATATAGCTTTTAAAGCTAAAAATTATTATTTTAGTATTAATAAGGTAGGTATTACTTTAAAAAGGTTATAATCTTAAAAAGGATACTTTTATCTTTTTAATTAGGTATTAAGTAAGTAGCTTTTAAAAATAGGAATTTCTTATAGTTAATTTATTAAGGATTTAAGTATTACTTAAGGTATACTTTTTAAGTTAATTATATTTTTTTCTTAAAGAAAAGTAATTTTAATAAATTTAATTTTAAAAGTTAGTTTAATTAATCTTATAATAATAGTTAATAAGTTAGGCTTAATATTAGCTTAATTCTTTATTATAATTATTATTTTTAAATAGCTTAAAGTAAAAGCTTTAGAATTATTATAATAATTTAAAATAAAAAAGCTAAATAAGTTTAATAATATTATATTAATTAAAGCTTAAAAAAAAAGTTTAATAAAAAGGTAATTTTAAAAAAAGGGGGTAATTTATAATTAAATTATTATTATTACTTAATTAATTATTAATTAGCCTAATTATTAAGATATTTAATAAAATAAGAAGTAGGGTTTATATATAATAATAAATTATTTTATTAATTAGTAATTTATTTCTTATAATTATAATTATTTTCTTAAAAATCTAGTTTTAAGACTCTTAATTAGTAAACTATTTCTTAATTAATTAAATTATTTAGCCAAGGCCTTTTTAATATAGCCTAGCTAATCTCTAAAAGAGGGATAAAATATTATATAACTCTTTTATTTTAAGAAAAGCAGCTCCTTTAATTAAAATACCTTACTAATTAGTATTTAGTAATTTAATAAACTTTAATAGTTATTAAGAAAATAGCTTAATAAGCTTAATTTTAGACTTTAAGAATCTTATAAATAATCCTTAAAGCTAGATTATAATTTAAATACTTTTAAAAATAAATTAAAAGATATTATAATTGCTTTTTAAAATTAAATTTTAATTCTTTTTAATTTCTAATTAAGGTAATAAAGAAATATATATAAAATTACCTTATTAAAGGCTAAAACTTAAAAAGCTTTAATAAGTAAATAATATATTTAACTAGTAATATAAAGTAAAAAAGATATATTTATAAAATATAAAAAATATAATTATATAATAAAATTAAGATTTAATTAATTAAATAAATATAAATATATAAGTATTAGCTAAATTATTAATAAATAATAATTAAGGAAATTTAATATAATTAAAGGTTTAATATTATAAGACTTATAATAAAATTAAGTATAATATAAAAACCTATTAAAAAGGTATTAAGGCCTATAAAAATAAATATAATAGTTAATTTTAATTAATTTATTAATTAAATAATTTAATATATTTTTATTATAATTTATTTTAAGAAGCTTAAGATTTTTATATTATATACTTATTTATATTATATACTTATTATATATATTAATTATAATTAAATTAGTTATAATTTTATATTAAAGGAAATTCCCTTTTAGAGGAGAAATTCCCTTTTTTAAGCTTTAATTAATATAATACTATTAAACCTACCTAGCTTTCTTATTTAAGAACTATTATAATATGTATATTTTAAGTATATATATATATATATATATAGACTTATTATTAAATATATCTTATAAATTATATTTATTATTATAGCTTTATAGCTTTTTATAAACTTATAATAAGGGCTTAGCTTATTTTTATATAAGAAAACCTTTATTAAATATTTCTTTATCTTAAATCTTACCTCTAAGAGATTTAATATAGGGATTAGTGCTATTATTCATTAGAGCGACCTTGATCTTATTCTAAGGCTTAATAAATTCGGAACTGATTAAGCTAGTAATAACTGAATTGTAGGTGAAAAGATCAATGTTAATAAGCAGAGCATCCTAATTACTAGATACCTGGCAGCCATAGAGCGAGGCAAACTTGCTACTCTTAACTGCGAAACCAAGACTAGCGAAGCTATGTATTTGTTAGCGCATTTACAGTTCATATGAGTAATCGAGACTTACTTGGCGGTAGTGCCAAAGGTGTTTGCAAAGTTGATGTTGACAGCCTGGAAGTAGTTGCCAGTGGCGTAAAAGGTAGCCGAAACGCTTCAGCCTGAGTGTCAATGCCCTTATCATATGTGATAGTGACCTGGTTCTTGGTGTTATCTTTAGGCGACTCAGAGTAACCGATGAAGAACGTGGTTCCAGGTCGGCTGAGGACGATCTGTTCCTTGTATGTGCCGGGATATATGAAGACAGTGGGAGTGACCTTGGTGGAAAGAGGTAGAGCATCGATAGCAGCCTGGATGGTATCATAAGTCGTGACTCCGTCAATGGGGTTCTTGGAGACGATATAGGCACCGGCAGCAGGAGTCTTTCCACTGTAGGGAGCAGTAGGAACAGGGGTTGGGGTGACGGTGCTAGGCTGTGGTGTTGTGATTGAGTCCCAGTAGGTCTTGTCAATCCAGTCAGTGCTGTCCATCACAGACTCTAGAGAGTAGGTATCCGATGTCAGAAGCGTAGCAAAGCCAAAAACCCTCTCGTGCTGCCGTATTCTTCTCCCAGCTTCCGGGACCCTCGTTGGCGTACTCAGCAAAAGTGATATGATCAGTGCGAGGATCGGTTGTAGACCAGATCTTCCAACCAGCGGGTTGAATAATGCTGTCCAAGTAACTGTTCTTGACTACCACAAGAGCATATGCGTTGTAAAGGCGGACAAGATAGACCTGTCCCTGGAGATCCACAGTAGCTGAAGAAGCTTCAGTGAAAAGACACTGGTCAAAGATGTAACCTCCGATTGCACTCGCGCTACTACGGCTCTGTGCCGTGATGGCTGATTTGGCGCGCTTAGCAGCCAGAGTGCAACCCTTGAAGTAAGCCTTGCTGTATCCCCAGACTAAAAGCACTATTGTTAGCATGAACAGAAACAGAGTGAAAGAAAAACAACATACTAAAGTCGATTGCGTCCTCAATATACGAGCTCTCATAGTACTGGTAACCGTTTGTCGCGCCAGTAAGAAGAGTATCCTGCCGACCGATGAAGGAGCAGCCGTAAAATCCGATGTCATTTCCGTAGACACTGGCAGCGAGAGTAACATAGCTGGGCGTAGCGCCATCCAAGTTGTCCGAGTTGACGAACTTGACGTTGTAGAAGGCAATCTTTGTGCTGGCTGTGGCGATGGTAGCTGTATCCGCGTTGCTACGACCAGCGGGAATGGTACCGGCAACTGAGAGACCCTTGGCTTGGGTGATGATGACTTGGTTGCTGGTATAGGTCTTTCCAGGATCGCTCTCGGTGTATCCAATGATGGTGACAGGTCCTGGTCGGTTGATCGCAGGGACCTGCTCCTCATATGTTCCGGCGTAGATGAAGATGGTCTGGGGTGTTGAGCCCTTGGGGAGACTATTGAGAGCGTCGGTGAGAGTGGAGTAAGATCCTGACTTCTCTCCTCCAACGGACACAATTACAGCGTTTTTGGGAGGAGCGGTACCGTCAGAAGGATGTACTGGCCGTGTGTCATCGGTCTCTGGGTCGGTAGCTGCGCCAGAGCCATCAATTGCGTAGCTGGGAACAAAGTTGTAAGCCTTCATGTCAAGCCAGCTAGTACTGCCAATGAACGATCCAAGAGAGTATGCAGCAGCCTGTGACTCAGTGAGCTTTGTCGCAAAGCTGGCTCGAGAGGAGGTCCAGTTTCCGGGGCCAGTGTTGTTGAATTCGCCAAAAAGCACGTTCTGACAATTATTAGCAGGCCATAGGGTAAACTTAGAAGGTCGTCTCCAGTTAACTTACCGATGTCTGAGGGTTACTGGAAGACCATTGAGCCCAGCCCTGGGGAGAGATATGCTTGTCAAGGAAAGAGTTCATGTACACAACAAGGGCATACTGAGACCAAGGTCGACCGAGCGACGTTGTGCCGAAGTTGGATCCGTAGCTGTCAGTGTAGGTGACCTTGCACTTGTCGAAGACGAAACCACTGGCCCAAGACGAACTCTTGCGGTTATTGGCAGTGATGTAGGCATTGGCGGTGTTGGAAGTAATGTAGCACTGGTGGAAGAAGGCCTTGCTGTAGCCCCAAACATGGCATTATCAACGACGCTTGTGACTCCGAGTTCCTTTCGATGGTGGTTCACTCATAAAGAGTTCCTCCTCTTTACGACGACGGTCTTCGTCCTTTTTCTGTCGTTCTTGACGACGCAACTCCTGGCGCTCATCCTCAGAGTCTGGTATCTCTGCATCCTATGCAAACATTGGGAGAGGGGAGCCGGGAGGAGGAAGGACGCCTAGACCTCTAGGCTCAGAACTCAGTGGTTCATTCACCAACTGAGGAGACGCTTCAGTGGCCACAAGGCTTGGTAGTTCTTCAATATCTAGTAGTAAATAGTTAGTAAAGCTATATTAAATTGCGCAATTAATTAATTCTTACTATCAGAGCTGCTATCAGGCGCCGGGACTTCATCAAGGGGGGCAAGAGAAGCGTCTAAGTCCTATATAACTATAAGTAAATATATATAACCCTAGGGCTACCTACTTACAAGATGATACTTGGTTTTGAGATGCTTCTTGAGTTTAGACTCATTACGGAAGTCGTACCCATACCGGCGACACCCAACCACACGGCATACCGCTCCATCCAGTGACCAATCGATCTCCGAGTTTGTAAGGTGCTCATAAGCAGCACCAATGTAAGCCTGGCGAGCGGCCTCAGCCAGAATTGGTCCTCGACTAATCTCTAGAGCTAGAAGCTCTTCCCCTATATAGCTATTAGTACATGACTTTAATAGGATTTAATAGGATTTAATAGGCTCAAATAATGTTAAATAGACTTACAGGGAGTTTCATCGCCCGAAGGCAGCTCTTCAGAGACCGGTAACTCAAAGTTCGGCTCTGTCTCAACGGGTGGTTCAATATCCGGCCACTCAGATCCAGTTTCAGGGGCCATGGCAGCGGGAGCGATTTGTATGTGAAATAATGGAATTAAAAACGTAAAACCAGAAAGTTCGATCGACCAGCGTTTCTGCAGCGTAAATGAAACTGCAGGATTTTCTCTTCTTTGCGTCCGCTTGCTGAGGTTGACTGGTGTCTGGCTCCTTCCTCACTTGAGATACGCACCAACGGTACGTACCCCCACTGTCCATGACCACCGTTTCAGTGTTGTCCATCGTCGAGAATGGCCACAAGGGCAGAGTCCACTGTCTTGTACTCATTACCGGTAGGAGGTGAACCAGGGGTCCTCATGGCGCCGACATCGGTAGCACTTGTAGTGCTAGAGGCTGTAGTCGCAGATGAAGTGATCGTGGTGCCGGCAGTATCTCTGCCGCATACAGAATAAGGCCATCCTGGGAAAGAAGAAATGGCAGCCTTTTCAATCCAAGCATCACTGCCCAAGATACTGGCAGCGCTGAACAAAGAATTATCACTGACAACAGTCGCAGGAGAATTACGAGCAGAGGAGCCCCAGCCAGGACCAGTGTCGTTACCCTCAGTGAAGGTACCAGCAAGTTTAGCGGGAGAAGCAATCTTCCACCCGGCGCCGGAAATATGACCATCAAGGAACGAGATCACAAACGCAGCATTGGATCTCGGCCAATATAGGTGCTACCTTCAGGCACAGAGCTGGACTCAAATACAACAGCGCAAAGGTTGAATACAAATCGACACCCACTGCTTGAAAGGCCAGCGTTTCTGGCAGTGATGGTGACTTTGTTGTTCTTGGGCGAAGAGCCATCAATGGCTTCACCACGGAAGACAGTAGCACCAGTACGGATGACTGAGACCTGTCCCTGGTATGTTCCGATAAGGATATAAATGTACTGAGTGGTGTCATCAGCGGGAGGGGCTGCTACTGCAGACGCAAAAGTGTCGTACTAGGCGCAAGGGTTGCTCTTGGGACCGACAGCGAGAACCGTGCTGGGGACAGCTGAAGGCAGTGAGCACGAGGATGTTGTAGGTGCGGCGGAAGTCTATTCCTCTGTAGTGCTAGCTGCAGATGAGGTATCAGATGAGGCGTCAGAGGTTGTCGTCACTCGCGCAGCGGCTTTTGTCAATGATTCAGAGGTGGTCTTCTTCGAATCGGATGTAGTCGTCGCTGACTCAGAGGTCTCCGGAGAAGATTCTGAAGTCGTAGCAGCGGCTGAGGTTGTGGTCTCAACATCCTGCTTGAAGTCCTTGGCGTTGTTGGCCTGAATGGTACTGAGTACACCTTGATCAATCCAATCGAGGGAGGAGACCGCAACGCTTGGGTATGCGCTCTTGAAGAAGGCGGAGATCTCATAAGGAGCAAGGTCCTTAGGGTCCGTGACAAGAGTCACATACTTGGAGCGGTCCGACACTTGGTTGGAGTAGCTTCATCTCCAGTAGTGCCGAACTCGATATATTTGCTCAGGTTGGGCTGCGTCTTGGTGTCGACGTAGACACCGCTAGCAGCGAGGAAGCCTCCGAGGCTAAATTCATTGAAAACAGACACCGAGTCATTGCCGCTGCCCGCGTTGAGGGATACACGGGTATTGCTTGGTCCACTCTTCTGACTGATGTCGCAGGTATCGAAGACGATGGTTGAGTTATGAGGAGTGCTTCCAGCGAGAGCGTCCTTGTTGTAAAAAAGGAGGCCATTACTGTTTGTGGTTGCGACAGTGGTTTCGTACAGGTGCAGCAAGGGGTAGTTGTAGATGACCTTGTCAGGGCCTCGCTGTTGGCGATAATGGCGGGGGCATATGAGCCGGTGATGGTAGCGATGCCGGCAGCGTAGGATTGACAGTTGTAGAATGCATTCTTGCTGCCCTGGAGGAGGACGGCTCCGCCCGAGCCTCGAGCCTGGGATATGAGAATTTGATGTTCTTCCGCGTGATCCTGGCCGCGCGCTCGTCGTCGAGAAAGGGAGTGCAGGATTGGCGTTTCCGCCGTTGTTGATGACGACCTGGAGTGGGGAGGATACATCGCGCTTCTTGGAAACCTCACCGACGATAGTGACAGTGGGTGTAGCCTGGATAACGACGTTTTCGGTTTTCGGTGTAGATGTCAACAACGACAATTGCAGTTGGGTGGCCGGTTTTCTGAGCGGCCTCGATGACTATGTAGTCGCCGCTTTCATCAGCGGTAATTGTCGGTGCTACAGGCGAGCCAGTCGATGTTGAAACCACGCTCTCTGATGCTTTTCGTTGTGAAGAAGTGAAAGCAGGAGAAGGAAACTCGGTTGTAAAGGAGTGTAACGCCTCGTAGCTTTAATTTTGAACAATGTTAGAGTCTCACTCGTCTCAGAGGAGATTAGGGTTGCGCTGAACTCAGAAAATGAGTTGAGATCGCCAGAGACCGAGGCCTCGCTCGCGACCATAGAGCCATAGGCCACGCCCGAAGTTGCGCTCAACTCCAGAGAAAATGCGGAGGGTGTATCGGCGTCGCTGGCGACAGATCTAGAAGTTGAATTTGAGCCTGTGCTCGAATCTGGAAATGAAGTTGGGGTGCTATCAGACTTACTCATGACAGAGCCAGTGGTCGTCTGAGGCAGCAAGGAACGTTGACGTTGAAAGGAGTGTTGTGCAGGGAAACAATACGAGTGGGATCGCTGGAGGAAGAATCAATCTGGCCATGTTGAGCCGTGATTCCAACGCAACAGCACGAAAGTTACGAACGTGGGTGAGGGACAAAAGTACGTGGTCAGCTCTTGTATTCTGCAGAGGCTACATACACTGATATAACATCCTGTCTCTTATCTGATATCAGCTGCAGAGGCCACCAGCTTCTTGGTTATGACAAGACATGAGTTTCGCCCAGTCTAGAAGTACTCGGCTCGCCCGTCAGACTAAGTAGTCTTGGGCATGGCAAAGCCCTCATCCTAAGTGACAGAAATATCTAGAAATATTCATGATAACTTGGGACAATTATTGACGAGCTCAGTGGACTCTTTGACCAGTTTATTTTGGCCCCTAATCTAGAGTATTACGACACCCTGAAAATAATGCCGGCCAACAAGCAGCCGAACATGGAAATTTAGAAACTATCAATTCCGCACAAAAGCTAGAGAGACTGTGACACAAACTAGTCGAATGAAAATGGTCAGATCTGTCCAATGGACTTGGCCGTTACGGTATTTAGCACCAGAAGGAAATGAAGTTTCCTGATGCTGATTACCGAAAGCATTCTAAATTCCAACGCCTCGTGGCCTTCATTCAATTTGCAATGAGTGTTCTGGGACCTTTTTGGGGAAGAACAGTGAAGACTTTGTCCGTCAAATTCGGGAAATGATATTCTCAAGTACCAAATATCTGATAAATCTTGGGATGATCAATAGACGTTTTAGTAAACTTGAACAGGTCAGTGACAGGAGGAAACTCTTTCTCGTTGAGACTTGTGGCTGAGAGCTTATATCACCACAGAGAACTCTTTCTCTTTCAAAGCTTGATCTAAGCATGCTTGATTTGACTATCCTAGATAGGATAGATGTAGAATTTGTTCTCCAGATCAGTCAAATCCAAAAGAGCAATCTCAACCTTTCTTCGAACAACCTGACCACTCTCATCCAACTGCTCAACCTCACCAAACTCATGCGCAAGTCTCTCCTCTTCACTCAAACCAGCCGCCCACTCCTTGCGCTCCTTATTCCTCTTCTTGAGAATGAACTGAATCACGAATAGGATCGCTGGAGTTCCAACCCAGCTGATAAGAATCATTGATATCCAAGCACCATAGTAGCGAGGTGCATCTTTCGGAACCCAGATCTGAGGAGATATCAGGTTTGCAACACTGTAGCCGATCATGAACATGACGTTGCGGGTAAGTTTCTTGGTGTAGCCTGCTGCACTCGATGTTGCCCAGCCCAGGGCAATGATGTAAGTGTTTCCGTAGGTATGACCTGCAAGAAGAAGACAGGCAAGCATTCCGAGTTTCTCGTTCCAGTTGATGGCGACCATTCCGATACCACCGGCAACAGCAGGTATACACCAGACAAGACCGTGAAGAGCGAGGTTGGAAGGCCACCACTTCAGTGCAAATGTTCCAGCAAGACAGATTGCAACTCCAAAGCCACCACCAGCCGCGGCAACGAGTGTTGAGCCTAGAGCATCGACGCCAAGAGCCGTGGTAATGAGATTCTGTTGTCCGTATGTCAAGTTGTTGGACATCATAAGTGTGAAAGCCTGGAGGGCAAATAACCACGAAACTGGATCCCGAAGTGTCTCCTGAAACTGGGTCTTCTTGAACTGCTTCTGTTCGATGGAACTCTGACTCGACTCGTGCACTCTCTTGATAGAGTGAACCTTTTCTTCTAAAGTGAGGAACCTAGCCTCGGCTGGGTTGCTTGGATAGTAGAACCAAACAAATACAGACAGGATGACAGAAAGGCCTCCAGTAACGATCATGAAGAGCTTCCAGGGGAGAACTGCGCTATGACTCCAGAGTAGACCATAGGAGATGAAAGCTGCGCAAACTGGGGCCAAAGCCGCTGTGACCCAGAGAAACGGTTGAAGGAATGATTGCTCGTGTCGATTGAAGAACATGCCGATTGTCATCTCCATAGCTGGCACGACGACTGATTCAGCAGCTCCAAGGGCGATGCGAAGAACAACAAGGCCAGCATACTTGGTAGCAACGCAGTGAAGAAGAATAGTAGCCCCCCACATAAAGACCAAGCCGGCTACGAATTTGCCAAAGGGGAGCCGCTGCATGAGATAGTGGCCAGGCCATTGTGCAGCAAGGTATCCTATGATAGTGTGAGATGGGTCCTGATAGTGAAAGGTGAATCGTGAGAGGACTTGGAACGTACCGACATAGAAGAATGTGCCAAGGTTGTTGTATTGCGCTTTGTTGATACCTGTTTCTTCAAAAAGGCCGAGAATGGCAGCATATCCGAGAGTTGATTTATCGATCTGCAAATTTGTCAGTAAATCGATAGTAGGAGACGCCGGTGCACATACGAATAGAAGCAAATTGATTGCTGATAAGAGTCCCATCACATGCCAGTACAGCTTTCTTCGTAACTTCTTCTCCTTCTCGGGAGTCAAAGGCCCAAACTGATCGCCATGCTCCTCAACGAGACGAAGCGTCACATCAGCATACTTCTCCGAGACAATAGCAGTCTCTCCCTCTTTCTCCCTGCTTTGAACCCTAGAGAGGTCCTTGGAATCTTCTGGGATACCCATATTTGAAGATGGAAAGAGAAAGAAATGGAATGAAGAGCGGATACAGCCGAGTGATCTACATGCGGGAATTGCTTGGCTTTATCTCAAAGGGCCATCAAATATGAGACCACTATCAAATCACATCAGATCGACTCCATACTTCTAAATTGATTGCACTGACTCACGAATCGCCCTTTTCGTGATGATTTTCACTTTATTGTTACGCTGACCTTTGTTGCGACAACGTGGGGAACGATTGCGTGCTGAGGTTATTGTGTAGCGATAGGTCGATTATCTGTTGATATGTCAAGGATTCGGATCCGAGCCGCTGGTAGTTGCACGATGCGCCGCATTAGATGCCGCAAAGCCGCAATTTTAACTCAATAAGGAACACCACATTTCTGAAAACTCATGGCCTAGTAAAAGGTGTATCAACACGGACGGTAGATACAGACTACTACTTGCACATACATCTATCTCATCACAATTCACTCTTCGTGTCGCAAGAACCACATGTCCCTGTTTATCATCAAGTGATCAGCTGTAACCCCGAATCTGTTTAAAATGGTTCAAGTAAGAATGTTCACAGCTTCGGGCACAAGCCGACCTGCAAAATCCACTTTACTTATATGCCTAGTAAACTTTATTCCTGCGGCTCCGCGATATTGGAAACCGGCGCCGCATGCGATCCGACGAGTCAATTATTTCCCAATACGGTAATAATTCGGCCTCAGCCATTGGTATCAGGATACTGTACATAGATTTGATGTTATATGGAGAAACGACCTGTCAATTGTTCATCAGGTTTCCCCATGTTCCCAAACTAAAGGTTTGTACACGACCCAGGACATAATGCCTGTATTTAGCTTGATCATCTCCGAGAATACTAAAGAGTGAATAACGTCGGAACTCTTGCGGTTCCCTCATACTCAGCAATAATCTTCTTATTGGCCCTTCGAAGAATTAACTTCAACAAGAAGCAAACACAAATCTCCAATACAGCAAACGCTAAAAGAAGAATCATCGCCCTAGTATACCTTGGCTCATCATTCGAGTCGAAGAAGTAAGGGCTCCAAATGGTACCAAGTTGACCAGTGACGTTGATGATAGCCGTTGCACAAGCTTTCTTGGTTGGTGTCTGACCAACTGAAGATGCAGCCCAACTGTACAAAGCGGCATTTGCTCCAAAGCAGCCGCAGATATACAAGAAAGATGCAGCATAGCGAGCTGGAATGTTGATTGTCGCAGCACTGATAATGAAACCGACGATTGCGAAAAGGATCGCAACACTGATATGCCATCCTCTCTCGGCTTTGCGGTCACTGTGCCAAGCGATAAAGTAAGAAATGAAAGCGCCGAGGAGATATGGTGGTGCGGTGCAGACGAGAGTGATTGTTCGACTACCCAAGTTGAAGCCTCGTACTATGGCAGGATAGAAGTAGTTGAAACCGTATGCGGATTGGTTAGATAGCAGCAAAAGAGCCTGGGCTATGGTTAGATGTTTTCAGAAACATAGGGATTTAGAACACTTACAAAAGCCCAGACTTTGATATCAGTTACGGCAAGCTTCAGGCCATGTAACACAGACTGGTCATGCTCTTCCTCAGATACAGCATCTCTGGCCATGCGAGTAACAGCGACTTCTTTCTCCTCCGCAGTAAAGAGCCAATCCTGACTCTTCGTAGCAGGGAAGTCAGGAAGAAGCAAAAACGCGACTAATCCTAGCAGAAAGGTAGCAGCACCTTCTAGAATGAACAGCCACCGCCATCCCTGAAGCCCAGCAACGCCTCCCAAACCTGCAAAAATACCCGCAGCCAATAGGCCAGATACTGCGGTCGCAAGAACAAGGCCAGAATACAGAAATGCATAGCGAAGTGCTAACTCTTTCTTGGTGTACCAGCATGATAGGAGGAAGAAAACACCTGGAAAGAAGGGCGCTTCGCATATGCCGAGGGAAAAGCGGATGATGATTAGGTGGGTGAATGAATTACATGCAGCCGTGGCAGCAGATACAACGGACCAAAGACAGACCCATGCTGGTATATAAATCGAAGGACGAACGCGAGTGAGGATCATGTTGCTTGGAATTTGCATAAGCATGTATCTGTCTTTGGTTAGCTTATGCTTCTGATAATCCAGCAGTTGACCAACCCAACGTTGAGAATTGCCAAAGCAGTGCTATAATCATTACCGCTTAACCCAAGATCCTTCTCAAAGGAATCCAACTTTGCTTGACTAGTGTTTCTCGCATCAGTGGAGCACCTAAACATGGATCAAGCCGTTCTTACGCAATATTGTTCCTGTCCAAGTAATTGAACAGATAGAGAACGAAAACCATCGGCATTAGAGTCATGTCCAGCTTGCGGACAAGACTCTTCTGTGCAGCATCGTAGCTAGGATCGTTCACTTCAGAAGAAACACCTTCCTCGCGGTCGGTGTTCTTGGAAGGAGAGAGTTCGAGAGTCTCTTTGCCATCAACCGGTGCAAAGTTCATCTGTGAGAGTTTAGTGGACATTTTGCTGAAGGGTTGGTCGTAAAAAGATATTGAAGATGTGTGCGCGAAGATATTGGTAGTTTTTAAGGAACCCGAGGCCCTGTTTTATATCTTTTTTTGCTCCAGAAAGCGTACTGATGTAGATGAGACTACAGATATGGGGCCCCGGGGGAATGACACTGGGGACATGAATCGTGGGGTATCTTAGATCCAATCTAGTAAGTGTTTTCAGAGGCGATGAAACGCTATTGGTTGTATCTCGAGGCGAGTCCGTGAGGCTTTTCATGGAAAGTGGTGTAACGCTAGTGGTTCAACGGAGGTGTACCTCCATTCGATTCCTAGATTTTTGTGGCTGACTGGCATTCCCACTACCTCGTAAACTACTAGCAGTGCTTTGATGCACAGAGAACTCTAAACAAATTGGTCAATGTCTCCGTGTTCCGAGAATATCTCTGCCGGGGCGAACTCTAGGCTTGTCTCGTTGGTTGATCATTGATGGTTGTAGATCGCCACTCTTATGGAGTTTAAGGCAACTTTTACCGACATGGCTTCTACTTCATGTTTTATTAAGGAATCAATTTTGGCGAGCGAGGTCCGAGATCTGAAGCTTGATGGCGGTTCATTGATGACACTCTCACAGGATCCAAACATCTAGATGACGCAGGTTCCTGCAATACCACACGAGGTAATCTAAATGAAAGAATGAACTTAAATTCAGCAGGTTTTATATTCGTGAATTTAGTATAAATTCGTACCATTCACTGTAAATCATGTTACTTCGATAAAATGGTCTATAACCAATTTACAAAGAGCTCGCGCAACTTCAAGCATTACACAAGTCGGATACTTAGGGTAAAGATGACCAACTCTATTATAATGATACTAATTAACAGTACTTGAGATTTCTACAACTTGCTAGACTTCTCAGGAATAGCGGCAATAGCCTCCATCTCCACATGAGCGCCCTCCAGTGGGAGCTGAGCAACAGCCACGCACGTTCGGCTCTATCCGTCATTATCAGTACCAAGCCGACACTTTAAGCGAAAGACTTGACTTACTGGCTTGGGATCAGAAGTAAAGAACTCGAGGTAAGCTTTGTTAACCTCAGCATAGTGGTCCATGTTTAATATAAAGATGGTGACTTTCAAAGCGTTGTGGAGGCTTGTTCCCGCTTTGTTGAGAATGGCATCAAGGTTCTTGAGAGCTCCAGCCTATAACGAGAGTTAGAACACACACTGGGTTCTCAGCCTGGGGGAGAGAAAGAGGTACATACGGTCTGATGGTAAGGTCCCTCAGCTAGTTGTCGAGTCTGTGGATCCATACCAAACGAGCCTGAACAATAGACCGTTCCATTATGGATGATTGCTTGCGAGAGATGGGGACTTGGGGCAGGCGCCTCAGTAGTTAGGACACCGGTTCGGAGAGCCATGATAAATGTCGTAAGAGTCAAAGAGTCTAGGCTTAAACACGAGTGATGTAAGATGGGCTGCGGTTGATTTGAAGGTTGGGTCAGTCCAACCTACAAGTTACTTATAGTCTACCAGATGATAAATGAGTTTCCGATGCTCGGAGAGAGCTCAGAGAGACATTTTGACTCAATTAAGGCTGAATGTTGGTTGTAAAGCAATGTGACCAACAAGATGCCAGGATGAATCCGTGATAGATCTCCCCACATGTCTCCATCACCAAGGAAGAATGGAGGTGGATCTCCGTGAGACTAATGCAAGTTTATGTCCAATCATGTTTTGACGGACACCTTCCTCCATCACTTTAGATGCATTCATTTTGACTACCAAGTGGCGTCCTTCGAATATCTTCGGCAATTGATGGGAATCCAGTGGGAATTTTAGGGAAGACGAGATAAATACCAAGAGCTATGACGTGGACCCTAAGAGTGCTAGTAAGATACCTCTTACGAGCGAGGCATGCCATCGGCGTCTCCCGAAGCCAAACGATAAATCTACAACAAAATCCTCTTCTTATAAGAGTACTCGCTAGTCATCCTTCAAGTCATCGATCATCTTGACCCAACTGTCTTTGTGTGTTCACCCCTTTAATTCTCAGCTAGATCTCACTAAGCATGTCTCATCAAGGCGAAACTATCGCCATCGTTGGGTAGGTCCAATACTTTTCCTGTTCCAGAAGCCACTGGGCCTTCCTTTGAACAGTCAATCACGTTGGGAGTCGTGGCTAAACTTTGGAGCGAACAGCGCTGGAGTCATTGGGCTGTCAACAGCTCTCCGAGTCCAAGAACAAACTCTCTCCCAGAACAACCCACCATCCATCGTAATCATCACACGAGACTTTCCCAATGAGACGTCTATCAACTACGCTACACCATGGGCCGGTGCACACTACAGACCATGCCCGGGAAACACCCCCCAGCTTCTTCAAGAAGCGGTATGGGCAAAGAAAACATACGATACTCTTGACAGTTGGTCTGAGAAAGACAAACTGAGCGCAGGCCTTGAATTCATGCCCGCAGAAGAGTTCTTTGAGAGCCCTACGCATGAGTATGTCGATGTTGTCAAGGATGTATCTCAGTCGGTGTACGCTCACATCCAGTCGAGCTTTGAGCTATTCAGCAGCAGCGAATTGGGTGCCATGAGTGACTCTCTGAAATTGGGCTTTCGTTATCGAACATACTGTCTCAATAGCCCTTTGTATGCGTCGTTCCTGCAGCGCAGGTTTCAAAACAGAGGAGGTCGTCTAAGACAGTACACGCTTGCATCACTGGAAGAGGTCTTCTCGATCGAAGACTCTGTCTCTGTTGTGATCAACTGCTCAGGCATGGGCTTCGGGGATCCCAAAGTATTTCCCATCCGAGGTGAGTGCTAAGATACGGATGCGCCTTTGTTTCTATAGCTAATGTCATTCCAGGCCAGACGTGTCTTGTGCGAAACCCAATTTCGAAGACTGTAACAATCCAGAACTCCGATGGTTCTTGGTCATTCGCTATTCCTCGACCTTTAGAAGGCGGGACTATCATTGGAGGCACCAAAGAGCCGCATAATTGGGATCCTTACCCGTCGGCTGACACCAAGGAAACTATTCTGTCCAATGCAGCAAAGTGGTTCCCTTTCGACAGCGAAAGCCCCGGATCTACTACTAACAAAGCGTCCGATCGCTTCGATGTCGTTAGAGACATCGTTGGTCGTCGTCCAGCGCGTGAAGGTGGCCTTCGTCTAGAGATGGAGCTTCTGAAGCCAGGTGCCGTTGTCCATGCCTATGGTGTTGGTGGCAGAGGTCTTGAGTTATCATGGGGCATCGCAGATGAGGTTGTTGGCTTGCTTCAGAAGCAGGGCTATTTCTCTCCACGAGCACGTTTGTAGATTAGTCACATCCTGATCAGAGTCTGTTATTTCTCTCACTACGTTAAAGTGTCGAGGATGTTTGCGTCTCTTATGCTGTCATTTGGTTGATCCAAATCACGAAGATGAAGCCAAGTGCGATTAATCAAGTCAATTCATTATAGCCCCCGATTCTATCTCTGTGCCCAGAAATAGCACCTTTGCTAAGACTACGATCCCAAGTCAAATGCTGCCACCATGAATTTGTTCCCCGGAAGACATATCTAGGTCCAGCACCTCATTCCTCATCTACCTCAACTACCTGTCCCTGAGCCTCACCACTCTCATCACCCTCGGCGCCGTCATCCTCCTCGGGAAGCCCGAATCTCTCTTCAAAAGGTTCCTGCACAAAATCATTCGCATTGAGCTCTTCGTTAGACATAGAGCGATGATAGATAAGCCAACGGAAAGGTCCATTAGGATACACAGACAAGGGGTAGGTCTCGTGTCTCCAGGGCTCCCGATCACCGAAAAGACGAGGGAGTTGGCTCGAAGCAGTAAACGTGCAAGGACGGTTGAAAAGAGAGCACAACTTGCAGCACCCATGGGGATGTGACGGATCAGGCTCACACAAGGGGCGTTCGTCACTAGAAGAAGGATAAGCAATCAAACAACTATCGCAAGGGCGCCTTTTGCCTTGGCTCATCAAAACTCCGGCGCTTATAGCTTCACTTGTAGTAAATATCATGGTCGGATCGTTTGCAGCAGGTGCTTCAACAAGAACTCGAGTCATATCACAAGAGAACTGCCGAACCATGAGGTTATAGTTGTGTTGCCAGTCTGATCTGGCTGGGGCAGAGCTCGAGACTCGGGGCCGGGGATCTAGGCGGTACTCTTGCTGTAAGTGGTTGGTCTTCAGGACAGAAATATCTTGGCACATAATGCTAACACTTCTGGGGAAGCCATTCAGTGTTCCGGTGTATTGCAAGCCTCTAAGGCCTTGGATAATCATCATGCCCTCTCGGTATGGCTTCAAGCAACCTTCCACGTCGCCTGTTCTGGCTACCCTGGCTGATTTGGGGTAGTTAATCTTGGCCAAGACAGCTTTACACCATCTTTGAGCCGATTCATTGAACCATTCCAGATGCACTCCAAAGCTCGATGCTTGACTGAAGTTTTTAAATGGTCCGACAGAAGGTACGCCAATGTAAGGACGAGTATGTGGTTTGCCATCGTCCATGACCTCAAACACGAGATAGCCATACTTAGGGCGTTGCGCATTGAGGGTGTCATTCATGACTCTGATCGGGTGGAGGCGCCGCTTTGTGTTTGTATCGCTGTAGTGGATATAGAAGCCCAGACTGATATCAGCCGCATCGGTCCTATAGTACAGTGGTCGTCGGATGCGGTAGCTAGTGAAAGATCTGGCATTTGGATTTCCGGGGGCCATAGGGATAGACAACAACTGGTACAACGATCTTTTACTTCCATACAATGGGCTTTCCGTATTACAACCTCGGCCGCTAATACGTGGCCAACGTGTTGTAGAAGCGGCTTTGGCCTGGAAAGAGGAAAACAGTTTTGCGCGTCGTGAGTTCACCAAAGTCATTGGAGAAACATCGCTTTCCGTGGCGAATAGGAATGGCTGATACGATCTTAATAGAAGGACCATAGTTTGTTCTGCCATGTTGAGAACGTGAGATGGAACATTTCCATCTTCCCATATCATAATAGGAATCATATGTCGGTCTTCTGGAGAAGACTTCAAGGCAATCCTCAAATGAGCACTTCGTGTCCGGGGAACCGTTGTGTTTCTGTATTGAGCCATTCGATCTCGGATGCGACGAGATTGCCCAATGTAGATGCCAACATTTCTGTTAATGTCCGCTTGTGACGTGTCCGAGAAGGGTCCAGGCCTGTCGTTTCGCTTAGTGTAAATTCTCAGATAGATACAACTAGCTTGGTTGCTTGGCCAGTCCTCGGAATAATGACGAAGGCTGGTAAGGTCTCTTAAAGAGAATTCACCAGACTGCAGAACCTGCCGAACTTGGGGGAGAAGAGCATTGGTGATAGAGTCAACATTGTCTCTGGCCGTGTTGAAATAGCCAGCGATGTCTTCTTTAGGCATAAGGAGCTCTCGAAGTCGTTGCAGTGACTCTGGCCGCGAAATGAGATTCCAAAGTGTTCGGACAGTCTGGTCAAACAGATTATCGGCCTGCTGGGGTTGCAAGTTCATCACTGGTGCCCCCAACAAAGGAATATTGTCAGCTGTCTTGTCGGAAAGGGTTCTAATGGCTGAGCCTTGGCGGAGGAATGTCATAGGCACTATGGCTTCGTCGATTGTTAGTCAAATTCGTACTGGAGGGATGTACTGTCAAGATTGACATACCAAAGACTTGCATGTGGCCTTTCATGAATAGGACCATGCCATGGGTGAACTGTGGGTTGATAGACACGATAAAGCCTTGTTCTTTGGCATACAAACGAAGCTTCCCGTCGGTCTTGAGTTGATTGGGGGTAGCGCCTCGAAGATGTTGTGGGATATGTGGTGCGGAATCGTCGTAGGCGTATCGCTCAACCATCACAATGGCATGACAGAGTTTGTCGGATCCACGAGGGTACGGAACCTGTGGCTCATCTTTGAAAAGAAGCTGTTCAATGGTAGTACTGGAAGTTGATACCGACATGGCGAATGAACGGTCTCTGGACACAAGCTGGTCGACAGTGGGCCTGGAAGTTGATCCCGCCATCGTGGATGGACGGCAGTCAAAGGGAAAGAAGTGATGCGTAGAGTAGTCAGTCTAGACACTGGGTAGCCTTGGGCTCAAAGCAAGAGTGGTGATGAGTTGTGAAGAATGAAGTGTGAAAGGAGGAACGGAAGCCGGTATTTATAGTTGAATATCCTCAGTCATGTGCACTACTCAGTGAAGAGGCTCACAATGATTCAGTGTTTGAGTTGACTCATTGCTAGACGTTTGTCAGTGACAAACGCTCGCTTGTGACTGTGTCTATTGTGGCAAATGCTCTTTTAACAGTGACAAACAAGGTTTGTTACACCGTCATCATCAGACTTGTGTAAACATTATCAGTGATTGTCGAATCTCTTCAGTCATGTACATCATTCAGTGGAGATAGTATGATGATCCAATGTTAGAGCTGACCTATTGATATGTGTTTGTTGGTGACAAACGCTCGCTTTCACAGTGACCATTGGTCGTTTGCTCCTCGCCGTGACACCCAAGGTTTGCTTCGTCATACTCATCACGCTGGCTTGGTCACCGACAGTGATTGTTGGCCATTACCGTGCAATTGTTCTCGATCAAGCTTCCGCGGTGGTGAAAGTAATTTATCCACCAAACCTTGGTTCATTGCGCTCCCATTCTTGACAACTGTTGTCATTGATTGGTACCTCTGATTGCTTGTAGCGTCACTTGTATGGATGGCTTTCATTAAGTTTTGGTCACTGGCACTTGTTTGCCTACTGATAGCGATTGCTTATCGCTTGTAATTCGACCAGTGCACAGTCGTACCGGCCGGCGGCGCCTCTTACTCCAATATCTACCTTGGTCGACCTTGGGACCAATATGCCCGCGTTGCCTACGTCCAGTCTGAGCTGGGTTCGTGTGTAGCTGCTCAGGGCTGGCAAGCCTGGACCAAGGCCGATCCCCGAACAGCCAATGTCATCTTTGGAGAGTTCGACAATTCTGGTCCTGGATCTTCCACTAGCCAGCGTGCTTCTTTCGCCAAGCAGCTCTCTGCCGAGGATGTTGCACAGTTTGAGCTGGGCACTTTCTTCACTTCTACCACCTGGATCAACATGACGCTCGTTGACGCAACACCTTTCGATGCGGGCATCGCTGCTACTCAGACCTTCAGCTCCACAACTATCTTCACCACGCAGACTGTGACAACGTCTCAGACAGCTTTGGTTACTACAACCGGAGCCGATGTGACTGTTACGGAGAAGTCCACTTCCACTCTTGATGTCGGAACCACCATCACGCCTGATCCTACTACCAAGACCAATACTGAGAAGAGCACGACTACTCAGACTCAGCAGATTACTCAAGGCGACAGCGTTATCACTGTCAAGTCGACTGACGTTGTGGATGTTGGCAAGACTGTCACCCCTGCTGATGTTACCAAGACTTCAACTAACGTGGTTGCCGCGACTGTCACTTCTTGGATCACAACTTCTGCCAAGGCCGTCACGACAACTGTATCTACCACTGCAGTCACAGTTACTCCCAAGTCGGTGACTCAAGAAGAGACTGACTTTACAACTGTCTTCGCTACCCAGACTTCAAGCCCCAAGGCTGTCACTGTCAAGAGCACTACTACTACCACTGTTGGCACTGGCGGTACTACTACCACGTCCTTGAAGGCTACCACTGTTGTGTCTACTGTTGTGACAACTTCTGTCAAGACTGTCTCTAAGACAACAACACTCAAGTGTATCCCAACCCAGGATAAGCGTGATCTCGGAAGTGCCGCGGCGGTTCTTAAGCACCGAGCTGCTGTTGTCTTTGGTAACCCTTCTTTCGACCTTACCTCTGGCCTGACCCGTCGTGATCTGGACCTTGGATCAATCAATCTTGAGGCTCGTGCAGAGGCTCTCCGAACAGTCACTGTCACCGTGGTCTCGACTTTCACCACTAACATCAAGACCTCGACCGCGACTGTTCCTGGTAGCACAACGACAACGGAATTGATCACCACCAAGACAATTGGAAAGACAAGCACTTTGAAGCCCGTGACTGTTGTGGAGGTGTCTACATCTGTCGCCACGCGTTTCGCCACTGTTACTATTGCAGGATCTACTTCTACAACTACACAGGTCATCACCAAAGAGTCAGGCAAGACCACTACTCTCAAGGCCGCTACCACTACAGTTGTCGTCGACGCTACATCTGTTGTCACTGAGAAGAAGACCACCACTCTTCCCGCAAGCACAGTCACAGTCTACAAGACTCTCACCCAGACTCTGGCCGCAGGAACTGTCAAGGTTACTTCAACCAACACCGTCAAGAAGACGTCTACTGTCACTCTGGACCAGAAGACTGTCACAAGCTGGGCTACAGTGAAGACCACTCTGCTGCCTTCCAGCACGGTCACGCAGCGAAGCACTGTGTCCAAGGTTACCACTTCTGTGGTCAAGCAGACAAAGACGAATTGGGCGACCAAGACGAGCAAGGGTGCTGCTGCTTGCACCAACTGAGCCTGGGGATTTAATTCATTCTAGCGCATTCGTGCGACATAATTAGTCAATTTAGCCATAATATCTACTGTAATTTTGCCCAGGTTGTATAAGGACGCAAGAAGACTTAAGACCGCTATTCTAAGCGACAAAAAGACTTAGGTAAGTTTAGTATAAGCTTAGTGGACCTTTAGACTAGGTGTTTTTGACACCCTGGCGTTTAATCTCTCTGTACTCTGTATGCCCTCTCGTTTTCGCTTCTTGGCTTAGCTCCATGCGATACCCATGCCGTGGAGCTGGAGATCAATTGCAGATCTTGAGCTTCGCCTGAGTGTAAACGACTGTGCACCAGCTTCGATCGCAAATCGCGGCTGTAAAATTTATTATTCTGTTGTGCGTATTGACACTGCAGCCACTGTCCCTCCCCGAGTATCGGTGTTTGCACCGGGAAAAGTGGAACTTTCGGCGCCGATATTACCACAACTTGGGGATGGATGTGATTTGGGGGAGTCATCAAAGTTGGAGAAGTCGCTTATGGAAATCCCACATTCCGTCGTTATCGGCGTTACTAACTTATTAAACTCTCCGGTTAAATGCAGTTTGATTTGATAGCGCCAGGCTTTGATTGATGCATATTTAAACTCTCGGGAGTTTATCCTCACTTGGAAATACCTAAGGATAAGGATCTAAAGCCTGTTGGTGGTCGTTACCATTTCGTCGTGAAAAAAAGGGCACAGTTAAGAGTAGAAACCCTTGTGATACAAAGCAAATTGCCCGGATAGAACGCAATAAGCCACTACGATAATTTGCAGAAAAAACGCCATACTTAAATGATCGACATCGGAATGATCCTCCGACAGCCTGGATAAAAACACCTGTGTTACAACAAGAGACCCATGCAGTGAGATGATGGCTGGCGCAATACGACGCTATGGATAACTGCGTGAGCTGAAAAGATGAAAACACATGAAATACGAATAAATGGCTCTGTTGCCTCGGTAGAGTGTTTATTCTTCAAGTTAAGCTTATGATATGTGGAGATAAGCCGGTCGATCATCCAAAGGAATGAGAACAGTTCACATGGAATACGCGTACCTAACAGATTGGGATCAGAATCTGCGACGTGTCTTGCATGATTATCCAAAATCTTACCTCTACCTTACCCTTACGGATAAGACGGCATCATTCCTGAGACTGGGGTTGGTAGATCTTCATCTATGAATATCCCTGCTGCCCGTGCAGGCCTCGACTGGGCAAAAGGTCCCCTGCGGTAGATTTCCCAGCGTCTATTCCGGTCGGTGAGATCCTCCACTGTCAGCCGTGTTTTGAGCCCTGTGCATCCTCACTGCAGCATGTGTTCTGGCTTCTGATAGGTCTTTTATTTTGTTGGTGGTCAGGGATGTTGGTTGTTGGCTTATTGACTGTTTCACCTGACAGGTGAACGGAGAGCATGGCAATTGATCACAGGTGAGAGTGAGAGACAATAGTTGTGGAATACCTCATATCATTAGAGGTTCATTTCATTATACAAGCGTCAAAATGTATAGGTCTTATATCCATGCAAAAGTGTTTCCTTTTTACTCCGTCCAATCGTAATAATCCTTTTCGCTAGACCAAACGCTCATATACAAAACTCATGCAATGTCCTGTAAGATGTTCTGCAAGACATCGCGTCCCATATCCACCGCTTAGACGGTGTATCGGAAGAAGGTGGCGTTATCGCCGGAGTCCTGCTCCATCTCCTTCTCAGCGCGGGTGTACTCATGAGGGGCCTTGTGTGTCTGATCACGGCGAGCGTTCTCGCGTCGGAGGTAGATGGTCATGAAGATGCTGAGAATGCAGCTCATGGTAGTAGTGGCGACGAGAGTCCAGTGACCGGAACGGTAGTTGGGAGCATCATCCTTGCGGTAGACAAAGCCAGAGACGGCACCACCAAGGTTACCCTGTTAATGAGATGTTAGTGAAACTGTGGCTGAATATGTCTGAGACATTGGGATAAAACTTACGAAGCCGACGTGCATGGCAATACCGACACCGCGCTTGAGAGAACCACCAATGTTGTTGCCGTTCCAGGCGACACCTTGGGGAACGTTGGGGTAGATACCGCAGGTGATGAGGAAAGCGGCGAAGTACTTGGCACCGTGGGAGTCGACAGTAGCAAGGATGATGAAACCAATGATACTGAGAGGAATGTTAGTAAATGAGTTGGTTGTTGTGAATGTGCCAAGTCGGGAAGATCTCCCGTTCTAGAATCTTGGCGGGCTGGAGAAATACTTACGCGACAACACAGAAGAAGATCATGTAGATACCACGTTGGCCGTGCCTGTCAGCAGCGAGACCACCACCGATGGTGAAGAGACAGGCGACAACGTAGGGAGGAACAGACATGAGCTGAGCCTTCTCGTTGGTGTAGCCGAGACTCTTGACGATGGTGGGAAGGAAAATGGAGATGGAGTAGAGAGGAGTGTAGATGCCGATGGTGATCATCATGTGAACCCAGATCTTCCAGTCCTTGAGAGCATCCTTGGCGAACTTCATGTTGAAGTCATCAGAGAGAACAGATCGATCCTCCTCAAGACGTCGGAGAACCTCCTTGCGCTCAGAGTCATTGAGGAACTTGGCAGTATCGGGGTAATCGTGCATGACAAAGAAAGCCATGATAGCAAAGACGAAAGTGATGAGACCCTCAATCATGAAGATCCAAGCCCAGCCATCAAGATCACCAAGGCCATCCATCTCCATGATACCACGAGCAAAGAGACCACCGAAAGCACCAGCAGCAGTAGCAGCAGAGAAGAAGATGGCCATGCGAAGACCGCACTCGTGTCGCTTGTACCAGAGAGTGATGTAGTAAGTGATACCGGGGAAGAGACCACCCTCAGCGAGACCGAGAGCCATTCGAGTTGCAAGGAAACCACCAAAGTTTTTGGTGATACCCATGAGAGTTGTGACGATGGCCCAGGCGATCATGATGCTGGGAATCCAGATGGAGGGACGGAAGCGCTTCATGGCCATGTTGGAGGGGATCTCGGCTGCGACGTAGAATGGGAAGAAGACGGCGACAGCGATCTAAGACGTGTGTTAGTACCTTGCATATTCCGGTAGATTGGTAAAGTCGAGGTTGCACTCACGTTGTAATCCCACTTGCCAGTCATGCCCAGAGCCTCTTCAAGACCAGCGAGCTTAGCATTGCCGATATTGGTACGATCGAGGAAAGAAAGGAGGTAGAGAAGAGCCAGGAAGGGAAGAAGCTTGACGTCCATCTTGCGGAGGAGGCGCTTGGTAGCAGGCTCGTCGAAGACCTCCTGGGAGGCATCTTCGTGGAAAGAAACGGCCTTCTCATAGTCGACCTTTTCGGTTGACGAGCTGTCAACCTGACCAGAGGTCATATTGTTCTCGTGGTGGTGAAGCATTGTGACTTGAATTGAGATGATGGAAAGAGGAAAGGATCAAGTGAGAGTTGTTTGTCCTCAGGGGAGGAGATGAGAGAGGATGCTTCTGATCTGAAGAACAAGAACTGGGGAAATAGTCTGGGGAAGAGCCCACTCTTTATACCAGAGTGAATAAGAGAGGAACAGAACAGACGGTGTCCGTCAATGATACAAGTCTACCCTTCCCCAGAATCAGATCCATACTCGGGGTGTCTACAACCAAACTGCCACTGCAACTGACAAGGTATAGCCCTTGCAGGCAAGCCCAGTCCCATTTTCGAAAAAGCCTCCGTCGTATGAAGTCCACTTTCCGCACGAACGGCAACTAAGCAAGGGTTATTTTAGAATGGTAGGGCCCTCACTACAAAGTGTGCGTCGCATGCAGAAGAGAGAGATAGAGTGTGTCGCCCAATCTCACAAGGTCCAGATGCGACTGGCCAACACCTCCAACTTCAATCTTTACAGGGGTCAACCAACAACTAAACTCAAGGGAGAAGACTCCACTCACACCTTGTTTGTTACCCCATGTTATCTTCTCTTCTTTTCCCCCGCTCGGAGACCCATCGCCGGACCCCCAAAGAAACATATACTGTACTGTAATGCCAAGGAAGAACGCCCACACTTTGTCGAGGCCCTGCTGACCAGGGAAAAGGAAAAGTGAATCGGGGCAGAAAGAGTCTCGACTGGAAATATTCGGGGTGGCCTCTTTCTTCTTACAAGGATGGCTGGTGAACACTGAATTGTTTCATTGTACGATGGGTGCCAAGTGAACAAGAGATACGGTCTCTGCCGATCTTATGTGATGGTTCCCAAGAGATTTCCAAGCCCATCAGCCAAGCATGACAAAAATGCTTGACACAGATTTCTCATGTATGCCAAGTCGGTACTGGAGAGATATTGCAACCCCGACAGTTACAGGGAGGGAACTGCGCCGCCAGACGTAGAATGCAATGGGACAAATCCCCGTCACCATTTTATTTCGGGAGTATGCGACGGTATGGCGCATCGCTCAGTCGGACTTGAATATGCCAATGCTAACACAGAACATCGCCATCTCTTGTTTGGTGATCTCTGAACAACCCTGTCTAGACTACTTGTGTCTCGTGGGCGATCTCCATAAACAACATCGTACCATGATGGCCCTACCGCATGTCATTCACTGAAATGGTAATCTACCTACCACTGACACCTTGCAACCGTGCGTCGTCCACGGACCCCGAGAACAGCAGGCTGTCGTTCTATCCGAGATGTGTGTGTGAGATGATAATTTGCCGTCCGTCCCGACGGGCCCTGATGGTGCAGTTGCAGGCAGTATTGGGTGCATCAAGACACATGGCATGGCATCCACTACGTGAAGCATAGTAATCAAGTCTGCATATTTCCACGTGTATGCATCATAATATCCAAGATAAGGCAAACATACGCCGTACGTAGTAGTAAATCAACATAGCATCACAGCGTAGTACATCTTGTCAGGCACGAGGTTCCATCACGTATCTGCCAAGTCAAGTGCCTAGAAAACGCCCAGCAGATTTGCCAGATCTCTTGTGGCTTCAAGAAGGGAAAAACAGAGCCTCATCTATTTCACTTCCTCGGGGGGGCTTGCTTCAACGGCTTCGGCTATCTTGACAGCCGTAGCTCATATCGGATCAATGGAAGCTCACTCTTTTAGACCTAGTGTGAGTCTGTAGGGATGATCTTGTCTTGAAGAAGGAAGAGAGTGGGAGAAAAGGTGAAATGCGCTTGGGACGCCACCACATGGCAAATACACGCGGCGTGTGAGATCGGTGAGGGGAAAAGAAGTGTGTGTGAGTGAGATAGCGTTGGTATGGGAGGGGAAGTTCCGAGTGGGAAGAAGCATAAGTTACAGGTTAATGTTAATGTTATCTTAGTGCTATTGTCCAGTGCGTGGTTGGTGCGAATGAATGACCCCAGATGCGCTGGGCTGTAGTGCCGGACCAATTTTGCGGGGGAATTACCCACTCAACTCGACTGTTTTAGGCTGCTTACAGGATCCGGGCTGATTACCGCGCTGGGCCTCAGTGGACCAGTCTCTCCTGTCTTGGTCTCACTGGCAGCACCCAACAGCTCACTTTCGCGTCTCCATCGACCGGTCGACTCCCGAGAAAGGCTCCATTTGCCCCGGATTATTTAGATGGAGATGAAGAAGAGATTCCGGGGAAAAGCAAGATGAAGATTCTGGGGAAGCCTGTTCGTACGGGAAAGAACGGGGTTGCATTTTGACAGCTTCAGATTGAATCTCATCTTCATGGTGTACTCATACGTAGTGCTAGATCTGATGTTTCCATTCTAGCTTCCATCGATTTGGAGACTCTTAGTGCACTCAAGCTCCGCACGTCCGGAACATTAATACCCTCGGCTATAGCAACAAGACTGCAACATTCTCCAAGTAACTCACCCTCTCTCCTCTCCTCTTACCGCCTTATCCCCCCTAACTTTGGAGAAAACAAGACCTCTCGTTACGTACACGAATGAATTCCCCAAAAACATGGGAACAGACAAAAAGGAGATGGAGGGTAGCCCCTGCTTAGTGGCTACAGGGATATGGCTTCACGGCTAAGATACCGGATGTGCGCTTCTGGCTTTTGTTGAGCGTAAGCGGAGACTCCTCCAAGTCAACCAGACACACAATCTCTTTCTCATCACATGGCACTGGGGTTCTCCTCATAACTAAGGCAGGTTAAGGTAAAAGATAAGCTTCATAGAGTTCTCCACTGATCCTCCACGCCGTTCTTTATCCTAAGGAATAAGTTACAGAAGTGGACTCGGTAGATATTCACGGATGAGAACCTTGTTTTGTCATTGTTTTCTAATCAATATCCGTACTTTCTCATATGATGCCATGTTTGTGGATACATGGTCTGAGATGACTCAAGTACCGACAGAATCTACATCTCATCTCTTGAATCTACTCTCTCTCTTCTCATCTAAATCTCACCCCTCCGGTATTGTCCTCCGTCTCCACTACTCCGCACTCACTCTCTCAGGCTTTACCCCAGCATCTACCACTGCCACCCGGAGAACATGACCTTTTTAGGATTGGAGCATTTCCTCTCCTCATGCCATTTGGCTAAATTTGACTTTTTCTGACTCTTGGCTCTTCAGCCTTTTTTCTCTCCATGACTCCCTCTCCCCCCAATTCGTAACGACGGCCCCCAAGATACAAAGAATGAGAGCGTATGGCACCATCTCTTTGCCTCACACCACCAATTCGCCAACCTATCACTGGTTAACATTCCCCTGGTGAGATGCTTGCATAACCACGTTTCATAGCCCCCCTCCATCTTCAAACTTTTTCGTGCTATCTTTTCTTTGTGAGGTAAGATCATTCCGCACTATTCACCATTGGTTGTTCCGCACATCGTCACATACCACATGCTATTTGACGTCGTTATCAACGGGCTTTTCGTCTTATCCGTTGAGTTCTTGGCGGAATGTCTTCGATCCTTCCTTTACTTGTTCTGTTTGTGATACGTTTGCGTCTTCGGACAGCCGGATGGCGTACATCCTCTATGCAGCATCACCGCCACGTCGCTTCGCCTTGTTGCATCATTTCGTTCGGTTCAACGTCGAGGATGATCTTATGTATCGTTCATCATATGCGCCCGTAATCGTCAGCGCTATCTATGCCCACGTTTTTGGCATGTGGTATCTGCAGATTACGAATCTGAATGTGCCATTCCATCCTGTTGGATTCGTATCAACCTCCGCTTGTCTGTCATGATGGTGTTTATCAAACGATATCACCAATACCCTATACCAAACCCCAACTCTTGGCTTTCTCTCGTAATCCGAGCTATCCGTATGGCTTAGCCAAGACAACAAACTTGGAATCTCGACCTCTACCCTAGCCTGCCTAGTAATCTAGATTGCGGGAGCGGGGATAATAGCACGGAGAATTTCTCCTCACTCAGTAATCTCAGTCTTGTTGCAAAATTTGCTTAGTGAGGTTGGCCCTCACATTGTAGTCAACGCCGGCATCCCCGGGCATGTTGCCGACTCCCACCGGGGCCGAGTCCTGCAACTACCTAAGTAACACGCCACTTCGGCCATCAATGTCCAGACTCAAATCTGCTCCTCAAACTTCCCCACGTATATCGTCTCATTACCCCAGTTTCAGCTGGGATCATGGTTGCCTTGTATTAGTGCAAGCCTTGCGCGGCTAAACTTGTCATTTTGTTTGTTGCTAGTCTATGGCTTCATAGTGTCTAGCTATATCGTAAATGATAGACTTGATCATCGTGGTTGCTCGGGTTTATTCGGCTCTCAGATGCTTTTCACTACACCATCATGATTCTGATCTTCTGCTCGGTGAAGCTCCGAAGATAAACTAGAGATATTATCGTGAAGGATGTTTACTTCCGATGGCTTAAGCCATTAATGAAACGGTACAGGACTTGAAGAATGATTGTATCTTGTTTTGGTTGGATATCATTCTCGGCTGGCGCGGTGAACCGACAACCCCAGGATGTTTTGTTGGGGAATCTGGGGAAGTTTGGGGCACGCTTGGACTTTACGACAAGATTCATCTCGTAGATCACTTCGACTACCCCTTTCCTGATGATCACTGCATAACCAAGGGCCGAGGTGCTCGCTTGTTATTCGGTCCAAACGCTTCCGCTGAGGAGCCGGCACAAGAAGCCACAATCGGTCGATTTATTGGATCATGGAGGCAAACTACTCTCCTATTTTAGGTTTCAAAACAAGTTTTGGAGCATGGCTGAGCCTCTTCACACCACCTGTCTCGGTCTGGACTTGGAATACTGGCGGTCTCGCCTCCAGTAAAGCCCTGGACGGGCTTACAGATGACCACCAAAGTCTCACAGTAATTGCATTAGTAAAGCAGAGCTGGAATTGAACATTCAGCTTGGGTGTTTGAATCCATATTAAGACAAAAGGAGGCAAATCATTTTTGATTCTCTTCGGCTGATCTTGCCTCGCTTGAAGTTGAAGAATCAAGACAGCACGATAGAAGTTCAAAGCCTCCAGTGAGCCATGAGATTGGTTGTCTACGAGCCCATGGAGAATTTACGAGGCTCTGATCTGTAGAAACCATGGTATGAGTGATCGGGCGAGTAATTCGGACTGAAAATGGTCACGAGGGACTGCATTGAGTCTTTGCCACCTTCGAAAACCTAGCGATGAAATTTACTCAACCCCAAAACCATTTGATAACCGAGTCTAAAGAAGGCCTCATCAAAGGGCTCAATAAATTTCAAATGATATATTGGAGTGCATGACACGGGGAGCCATTGCTCTTATAGCATTTCGACTGAGTGCTGTGTTGCTTCTCGGGTAACCGGAGATCTGGGGCCGAGGATATTGTTAAGACTACGGACTGAAGGAATCACTGAAACTCCTATTACCACCGAGTCTGCCTCGATTTCTTTGACTGGGTTTTCTTCTGTTCCTGATGGGCTTTGGAATGTTTCTTTGCCGTGTTCTATTGTTCTTCCCGACAGTGACTGAAGCCGAATATCATGTCGAGGTTTTGGATACTGAGTCGGCTGCTATCACGAACCTCCGACTTGCTTAATCCTCCGTTTCATGCCTATGACAATCAAGGCCTCGAATAATGATGCAGAAGTTCAATTGGATTCAGATATGAATACAATTCTACCACATAATTTCGACTCGACTTTCCATCATCACTGCCATCCGATGCCCTGTTGACACTACCCCGACACGATTGACCGTCGACTTACATCCCATGCCACCTCTTACTTATACCTACGATGAGAATATCACGGCGGCGTTGCTGTCCAACTCCAACATGGTCATGATGGGTGTTGGCCAATATGGTCATTACCCCTCTCGGGGTTTACGGAGTTTACCCATATCGACGTAATCTCACCTTCAGATCGAATGCTCATTCAACATCCTCATCGTATATCGTATCCAGCTTCGAATCGAGCTCTATATATTCTATTGTGATAGTCACATGTGACGATGAAGTTCCAGTTCATCGACAATGACTCTGCCAATAAAGCAGGCTCCCGCAAGGCCATACGAAGTCATGTCATGAAGGGCAAGAATCTTGGTCGTACAATACAAGGCCGCGGGAGGAGGCATGCTGCACCCCATTTGAATAACTTATACAAGGGGACAGACCTATCGAAGAAGTATGTAAGCATAGAACAAGGAACGAAGGGTCTTGATGGTACTGTCGACAGCGATGACAAGGCCTTGTTGTTTCAAGAGATCACAGACACGAACACCCCATATCCTATCAACAACCCATACGCAGGAAAGGAGTATACGTACTTCTTATTCCCAGTTCAATTCACTCCATCAATGCGATACTATGTCTACGAATGTCAGTTCATCTTGGCTTAGCTCTCCAACAACAGCTCACTGACCGCCTTCAGTTCATACGGCGATCTGCAACATCATATACCCATACGCCTTTTGCCGTCCTACAGACGAGATTGGATCACCATGGTTCAGGTACATGGTATTAGACCAAGCTTGTAACTTCCCCAACCCTTATCGTGAGGCTATCACTGAATCACTGACTCGATTCCAGGCCTGCACTGTCTTCTCGCAATGGCAGCAACATATCTCAACGTCCTCCGCAACGTCCCAACCCCCAGCCTCGAAAGCACCGAAGCAACCCGTCACTTCTCGCAAGCCCTTCGCCTCATGAACCCGCGCCTCTCCCAACCATCCGCCGCACAAAAAGACTCCAACATCGCCATAATAATCTCCCTCGCAATCCACTCAAACATAACTCAAAACCTCACCGCCAGCACCATGCACCTTCAAGGCCTTGAGAACCTCCTCACTTTCCGGCCCGGCGGCATCTCCGATATACGCGAGTGCAACCGCGCACTACTCCACAAGATCTGCCGCACCGACATCGAACTCGCCGTCGCGCAGGGCACACACACACGCTTCGGTAACTCGGGGCTCACAGCAGCAGCGGCAGGACCGATATCTGCTCGAAATCTACCGTATCCGCTGAACCAGATGAGTGAATTGCTGCAGCAGGTCACACGTGAGCTGCTGGCGCTGTGCCGAAGACCCGGAAAGGCGAAGATGTCGGGTCTGCAGTACCAGGATGTGCTTATCTCGATGTGGCAGCGACTCGTTGACTTTGCGCCACTGGGTGGTACGAGGCCACAAGATCTAATGGATGATGTGTGGCAGCTGGCCTTATTGGCGTTCTTGGTTACCGTCACATGGTCTGCGAGTTATCTCAAGAATGTACGCTGTAAGCTCTTGCACAAGCTGCTTAGGGAGCATGTTGGGAGTCGTGTACTACTGGCGCGAGGGGATGAGTATCGGCCTCTGCGGTTCTGGATAGTGTTTGTGTATGGGCTTTCATTGACGACTGGGGATTGCGATGCACCTGTCATGGAGGAAATCCGGGAGGCTTCAAATCTATTGGAGATAAGAACATGGGAGGACGTGAAGGCCAAAGTGAAGCCGTTTCCGTGGATCGGCATTGTCCATGATGTTCCTGGAAGGGCTTTATGGGAAGCGGCTGTGACCACTATTCCGCCTCAGCCGTAGAGCTTTGAGTATCAGTAAGCATGACGACGAGCTGTGTTATACATGGCCTTAACCTAGATAGGGGAGGCAAAATAACTTAGGATCTCTATTCGAAGTAACCAAAAGATTTAGGTAAATCTAGGTAAATCTAGTATAAACTTAGTGGGTCTTTAGGTTAGTTTATTTTATCACCTTAACTTTAGGGTTGAAGTTTTCTTGCTTCCTGAGGCCTAGGTAAATAGAAAGTGCTGGAGATCGTCGAGCCTTGCGTTGTTAAATATCGCCCCAAGCCTCAGACGTCCAAGACGCCCGGTCGCGTTTCATGGACCATTTCAACGAGGAAACGAGATGCTAATTCACCCTAACAAGAATCTCGAAGTAATGCGACTGGCCTGATATGTGCGAAGGGTTGCGGGTTGCGGGTTGCGGTGGTGTCTCAAACGACGTGGAAGCACCGTAGCCATCTCAGACATAATCATCTACTATCTAACATCAACATCCCAGCAACCACTACACTTACCGCTGATTCCCATATATCTTCCCCATCCGCTCTCCATCCCAGAAGTATCTTGCTCGCGTCCAAGGTTCATGTATAGGCTTGCGAGGTGACTCGGTCAGCAAGCCGTGTTGATCGATATCGCGCATGAATGAGTCTTCCAGTGTCAAATACCCCGTCGCATCGCGCAAAACGATCCAAAGAAACGAAGTTAGGATAAAGTGCCTGACATGGGCTTGATCCATAGGTCGTAGATTTCGTAGGAGGGTATAGTCTTGTATGCAGAGGAAGATGACGCAACTGTGCTCTTGATATGTTGTCCATTGAAGGAACTGGCAAACTCTTATGTTCTTCCCACCATTGGCGATCTCCCTTTCACGAAGCTCCCTATCGACACGGCGTATGAGCTCGCGATATTTGCCGAAAACGAAATGAAAAACAGAGTGAAACGAGCGCAAGCACCATCGTGGGTCTTTATACCCCTCAAGGACCGAAGGACGATGGTCCCAAGCAGGTCTCGACATTTCTGGCCGCACGGTACCTTCTAGGATCCCCAAATAATGGTATATAGAGTGTCGAAGATAGTCGAAGCCAAGGAATCCCTCCTCAAAACGAATTATTTCGCTTGGGGAGAGGACTAAAGGCTGGTCAAACTCTGGAAGCCACGTAAAGGAAGAATCGCGTTCGGCCCTGACTCTGGCCTCACCAAGTAGCTTGTTCCACGCATCTACAGCGTATTCCGATATAAGAGCATCGGCATCTTGCCGTTGGCTAAATAGCTCACAGAGAAATGGGAGGCTGCCACTCCATTCTTTCTCGCTCGGAGGCTTCGACAGAGTCATCCGAGCCATTCTTCCCTCAACTTCATATGGATCCAGATAAGGAAACAGATGAGCTTGTAATCGCATCTGGACGGCTCGAATTGCCTCTCGGGGAAGTGTTTCGTCTTGATATACCGCTTTTAAAAGCTCGATTATGGGTTTTAGAGCAGACTGGCGGTAGGTACGAAACCACTGCAGAAAGATTGGAGATGCTGAGATGAATGATCGAAGATCTACTGGAGAATAGAAAGAGCGCATCAGATGAATCACCACCTCACCTGGAAGCCTTTCTAAGGGAGAGGCCATGTTCATTGTTGTTTGTTGGGGGTCGTGGTCGAGGTTTTACTGGAATACTTGATCGGACGGGCAGCAACTGTATTGCGGTTGCGAAAATGTGGCAGACTCATTAGGATCACGGCAGGTATTTATAATCAAATGAGAGAGATTAATCATCTTCCAGAAAGCTTAAAAGCTTAACAGCTATGGAGGCTTCCATTTGCCATTATGCCGAGCGACAAACTTTAAGTTACTGGATGCAGAACTCTGGTGCCTCACGTATTGACTCAGAGTCCTAATCGCAAGTGAAGTTTAAAATATTAATATTAATTTAGAGATATATTTATTAAGTATTAAAAGATTTTTATAAAAGAAGAGAGCTTATAAGATTTTTTCTTTCTTTAGGTTATCTTAATAAAGCTTTCCTTAATTTAATTTTTTTTTTTTTTTTAAAAAAAAAAAAAAAAAACTCGACGAAATTCATCTAAAAATGAAGGCATCTTTAAACATCCTAGGGTGTCTCTTTTATCACCTCAGGGTCTGCCTAGGATCTTCATAACGCTGGATCCTGAAAAATCCCGAGAGTCTGGATTCGGGATGGCCCGTTAAACAAAACATGCGAGATCGGTAGTTGAACCTGGAGCTAGCATTTGAGAGGCAGGAGTCTGACTTGCCAGGTAAAACTTGACATCTTCGAGACCGTATTCATCAGAACCAAACGTTAGCAAGACCCATCAGAGTCCAGGGTTCTGTATAAACAGCCCACTAGGCGTTCAATAGCTCGCTGAGCCAACCCAATCTAGACCCATCATCCTCTCTAAAAAGGAAACCCCATCGGTGCTATTGATTCAAAGCTGAGAACTATCGAATAATTCCACGCGATAAACGTAGACAAAGACCGCGGAAATTTCCCATCATGTCAGGGGAACGATTGAGGCAGCGGGAGGCGGACGCCTCTGGTTTGTAGTATATATCATGGACTCGCTCTTATTCTCAGGTGGCGCAGGTGATTGATAACTTTCTTTCGTTCAGTCTCTCGTTTTAGCCTTTTGGCTTATTCGTTCGTTCAATATGCGTTCCCTTTCAGCGCTTGTGGCTTTGGCTTTTGCGAGTTCGTTTGAACTTGTTGCTGCCAGCAATTGTAAGCCCTCTTCACCAGCCGGAGCCAAGACCACGGATCCCGCTTCAGTTGCCAGCGGAACAGCAACAAAATCAGCACCTCCGTCCGAAACGACCGACGGACCAGTCATCATCACTAATTCTGTGACAAACGGCGACTTTGGAGGCTATGATCCTTCATCAGATGGCGGTATCTACGCCTTTCAAGCGGGCGGCAATGCGAAACTCCTGCAAGGTCCAGGATATCAGGGAGATCATACCGAGGAGAGGAACTGTGTACAACTCAAGACCAGTTCGGGAACTCCCGGTCAAAAGCGAGATTTCGTATTCGAGAACCCTTGGATCCAACAGCAGCTCGACAATCTGGAGCCCAGTGACTTCACTGTTCGCTTCTGGTATTCTATCGTGAACAATGCTATCGTGGACACATGTCGCATCGAAGGATTCTATGGAAATGCTCGATTTGGAGCGACTCCGTACTTTCCTGTTGTCGCTGATGGCAACAACTGGTTGGAGTTTGTCGACTCTATGCCTGTTACCACTACAAGCGGAATGATTCGCTTTGAGCTCAACTGTGTCAACGGAGGCTCTGCGGAGGTCTACTTCGACCAAGTCTTTGTGTCTAACAAAATTGGTGATGAGTGGGTTGATGGCATTTCGCTGTTCTTTCCTACGTCGAAGCATGCTGCTACCATTGCTCCGGCTCAAACAAGCACCGCTCCTGCTGTAGATACAGCTGTTACCACCAGCGTTAACACTGAGGCTTCTGATCTCTCTACCACTCAGTCACCTCAAGCACAAACCACTACCGGTGAAGCTTCAGCAACCGATAAGACAACCGCCTCCGCCTCCGCCCCGACCTCTGCACCCACCGATCCTACCACCTCCGGCCCCAAGCTCTGTGCCAAACTCGGTACAGGCGCACCTGGCCGAGGCTGCGCCAAGAGGCCTTATAGCAGTACCCAAGGCTACAAGCGATACGGTGGAAGCAAAATCACAAAGGAGCAATGCGCTGCACTCTGCCTTTCAGATTCTAACTGCCAAAGCTTCGAATGGCTCTATCAAGGCAGCGGCTGCGCAAACACATGTACCCTCCTCGCTACCAGCTGGGCTGATATTCTTACCAACGGGGGCCTTGACGCTGCCTGGGCTTACGACCGCAGCTGTATTCAAGAAGACGAGTGCACCGAGCAACCGGCTGGTTCCGTATGCGTTAACGTTAATGCTGATACACCCGCCAAGTCTTGTACTCAAGTCAAAGGCAAAGCGAAAGCTTGTGCCAAGCCCTTCCTGACTGCCTCGACGAGGGGCGTTTGTGGTCTTAGCAACGAATGCCGCGACCTTTGTGCCAAGTATCCTTCTTGCAAGTCTTATGCAGCGACCTTTGGCAGCTGTAGCTTGCACGATGCTAGATCCTCTGAGGTCGCCGAGGCCGGAAGTGAGCTTTTCTGGTTTACGGATATGGATTGCCATGCTTGTGGACAGGGAAATGCTTATTTCGATTACATTTCTGTTGGACAAGACCCTGCGAATATGCCTCAGTGGACATGTGCCGCGGAGGCTAAGACGACTTCGACTTTGGCGGCGCCGACGACCACCAACCCTGCTATCACGACTACCTCTGACGCTGAATCAGCCACGAGTGCAAGCCAAGCCAGCGACGAGGCCGACTCATCAGCAATCATTCCGACTACAACTTCTACACCTCCCACCACTACAGCAGCGCTATGTGCCAACGGCGTTCCATCCCCTGGGATTTGCTCCACCGCAAACACTGTGCCCTCAACAGCAACATGTGGCAAGCGTGGTTGGCCACGCAATGTCGAGCCATATGCCCGCAGTCTCGCTGATTTCCCTAACCAAAACACATTCGAAGACTGTGCTCTCATTTGCAAACTTGATAGGTCATGCAAAGCCTTTGCAATCGATCCTACTCGATCCGGGATGAAGTGTATGTTCAGTTCAGACCCAGCTATCGACGGGGTCTCTAACGCCCCTGGCGTATGGAGCGACTTGGAGTGTATGAGATGTAAGCTCTGCGGCGACGAAGTTACTTCTTCACATCCTGCATCTGAGTCGGAGAGTGCCTCTCTCTCTAGTCAGACGACTGAGGCTCCCACAACCATGATCACCTCGACACGGCCAGCTGGCGAGGACTCTTCCACCAGTCAAGCCACAACAAGCGCGTCTGGGGAACCAACTACTACTCAAACAGCACAAGCAGAGCCCACAGATTGTGCAGTACCCTCGGCCTCTCTAAGCGACGACGTCACCTGCGGTATCCCCGGTCAAAGTGGTCAACAAGCACAAAGCGCTCGTCTGTTAAACTATATCATCAAACCAGTTGGAAGTCTCGCCAACTGCGCTGCCATCTGTCTCCAACGAGCAGATTGTCAAGGTTTTGCGTACATAAAGGGCAACACTGAGTGTTACCCCTTCAGAGTTGGACCTGCTGGCTTGGGAATCACGTATAACCCACAGGGTACTGAGAAATACTATGATAGGGGGTGCTTCTCTTGTGCTTCGTGACAGGAGAACCAATAGGGCGGCGTGTTGTCCATATTTCTTAAGTAGGGTTGTTCATTACCACCCAGGGGCTAATTTTCTAATCTTGACTAATTTCATACCTTCAATCCTAAGTGATGTAAATACTTGGACAAGTTCATGATAGCTTAGGATAGTTTATGGCATCTCAAGATAATTTAGGATAACCTTAGCATACGTTTGATAAGCTCGTTTTCTGCCCTTGATGAGAGCATCTCAAGCCCCCGTAAGTACATACCTTGACATAGGTACCTTAGCTACAAAAGCTCTTGATGACCTATGGTAACTCCCTTCAACTACAGATGTCGATCTTGGCACATTTCTAGAAACTCGCAGCCGCCCGCTGTCATCCGGTAATAAACACTCCATCAGCCCTGAAACCCAGCCAAGCTCGCTTGTTTTCAGGAACGCTCCGCCAAGATATCTCAGCCTCCAATGTTTCCACTCACAGGATCTGAAAAACGGGGAATAAGCATCTTGGCGCCTGTTTCTCGGTGACGCCCAGGCGGTGATATTGTCGTCCGCCAAACATAGCAGAGCAGTGAGACTCCTGATCTTTAGACTTAATCTTAAGTCTAATCGGATGACATATTTGTGGAGATGTCAAAACATTTATATCTGTTCTGCTCTCTCGTGGAGATGGTGTTTTGGTAACTCACTTTCTTTTCAACTACACTCTTTTTGAACTTTACTTACATTCTTTATCTGTCCATCGTTAAGGCTGTGCCTATTCATCATGAAGCGATCCGCCCTTATTTCTCTTATTCCCGCCTTCTTGGCTACTGCTTGTCCTGTCCCCCAAGCTTCCGAACCTGCTGGTGTCGTTGTTTCATCTGGTAGCTGCGGTGCAGCCAAAGTTGATGAGCTCGTTGGATACGGAGCAAAGACCACTGGAGGCTCTGGTAACCCTGTCACCGTCACTTCTTGCTCGGAGCTCACCTCTGCTCTCTCCGATGGAGGTGTCATTCACATCGATGGCCAACTCGCCGGCTGCGATATCATGAACGTCAACAGTGACACCACCATCCTCGGCGTCGGTTCCAACTCCGGACTCACTGACAGTGGATTCCGTATCAAGAAGGCCGACAATGTCATCATCCGTAACCTTGCGATGAAGAACCCTCCCAAAGAGATGGATCTCATCGACATTGAGACCTCTACCAACATCTGGATCGATCACAACGAGTTCTCAGCTGAGGGCATCACCGGCGACAAGGACTTCTACGACGGTCTTCTCGACGCCAAGCGCGGCTCCGACTTCCTCACCTTCTCATGGAACAAGTTCTCCGACCACTGGAAAGCCAGTCTTATCGGCCACAGCGACAGCAACGGCGATCAAGACACCGGCAAGCTCCACGTTACTTACCACCATAACTACTGGAGTAACGTTAATAGCCGCGCTCCCTCAATTCGTTTCGGAACCGCGCATATTTACAGCAGCTGCTATGAGGATCTTCCCACATCTGGAGTGAACTCTCGCATGGGAGCTCAAGTTCTCGTTGAGACTACTGCTTTTGTTAATGTTAAGCGACCCATTGTTACGAACCTTGATTCCAAGGAGGATGGATTTGCTGTTGAGAGGGATAATCTTTTTGAGAACAGTGAGGCGGTTATTACGCAGGAGAAGGATTTTGTTCCTCCTTATGATTACACCACCGATTCTGCGGATTGTATTTGTGAGTATCTTAAGGAGAAGGCTGGTACTGGTGTTATCGATGTCTAAGCGATGTGAGATGGCATCTGCCAGGCTTGATGGGAGGGTTCTAGACAAGTACAAAGGCAGTTTATGATCAATTTATAGACTTCAAATACTAAACTTTCTCAAATATCCACTGTCCTGTCTCTAACCTCTAGTTTAAGTCTCTGACACAGTCCAATCGTCATGTTTTACGGATCTGTTAGTCTCTCATCTTTCAGCTTGGGCGTTTTCGGTCATGAGGCTGACCTGCAAGATGAACTCACACACCAATTACTTTCGACTTCAGACATGATATACCATCATGCATGCTAGTCCACTCGTTTTCAGAGCCTGCTTTCAATAGCCTGCCCAGACCTCATGGCGCAGGCCAGAAACCACAGCCTGATTTATATATAGCTCATGACTTCCCTCTCGAGTTTTCCAATTTGACGGCGTCACTGCAAACTCATTCTAATGTCAAAATTATCAGACACGTGCAGTTCTACCTGCAAAGTCTTCCCCAATGAAATCCCCTCGTATGGGGATATAGGAGGAATTGGTGTAAGGCTCGCTCCGCTCCCGAACATTACATATGGCTGATTGAACAAGGTAACTTTAGCCTTCGTACTCACAGCATGGATGGTAGTTGTTGTTCTCGTTGGATACTATCTCAAAGTCTTCGATCCGAAATTAGACCCTTTTCGGAGAGAGGGCACGCAGAAGTTGACCAAGTATCCAAACTCGATCGACTATTCAGTTCACGAAATACTACAGAGACTTCCTGGGCTTAAACATGATTCCAAGTCTGTTTCGTCGCGATCCTCTAGACTTGGAACTGTGTTAAATGCTGTAAGTACGTATGCTCTGTTCAGTCACATGTACTGATGTTACTGTGCGCCGCAGTGTGTTCTCATGTTCGCAGATGTTCAGATCTTCACATCATTGGCAATTCTCATCGGCGCGTATGCATCAATGGGCTGCGATATAGTTGCTTATCACTGGCAATACATGGTCTACCTGGCATGGCTAGCTTCAGTAACTCACCTCGCCAGTCTCTCGTTTCTTCGCAACCATCTCGCCAATAACCCTGCAAAGCGCATATGGCGTTTAATAGCCATGTGTGGAATCCAAGCCATGTTATCCGTGGCGGTGGGACTGTCGACGACCTTTGATGGGGATCATTGGCTCAACTCCGAAGGTGGCCGGCCTGCTATCTGCTATTTTGAAGAGCGGATAGATACAAGCTCTATTGCTTTTCAGTCAGCTATCAAGTTTATCGTTCTTCTCGTATGGGGGCTCACTATTCGTATTGCGAAGACGTTTGAGGGATTTGAAGGCGGGCTGCGTAGAACTGCATCTCGTCTGTATGAAGAGGGAAAGAATTGGTACAGAGGAGTTTATCTAGCAGGAAGAGAATGGGACCCCAGATTCGCTCATGCGTCTCTGCCTCGTCGTGTCTGGAGACACTCTGTTGTTCCTCTCCTGGTTGGGTTCTACTCAGTCCTAAGTATTCAGCTTGATCTTTTCACGTCACTTCTCGCCGAGGTATGCTGTGACAAACACATAATCCTAAGAACTTTGCTGACCTTGTTGGACAGGTCTATTGGCTATTCTTTACTATCATTTAGATTACAACGCGCCTCATCAAACTCCGAGTACCAGGCAATCAAGACGACAGCAAATGGACGTTTGGCCAGGTTCTCCCTATCATCCTTCTCATTGCGCCTCTTGCCATAGCAATCGAAGCCTTCTACACGGTACCAACGAGAAACGAGCCGATCAATAACTGCCAGGAGATTTCTGTGCATAATCCCGACGGCATCAGAGACCTGAGCCATATCCACAGCTCAGCATATTGAGGCGTATTCTTCCTAGCAGTCCTGTCATATATCGAGATTGCGGTCTACTTCGTTCTCGACCAAGCAGAAACGCAAGGCATCGCCATTCCCATCATTCAAATGTTTTCGTCGGTATTCCTTCTCCAGCCCATGCTGCAGCTTTCCTGGGTTGTCTGCAACCTATGGCTTGATAAGTTGGCTTGGAACATGACATTAAAACGCACAATTCGGGATGTCGTGCTACTCGTATATTCTGCTATCTCTCTTGCCGAAAACTTCATACCCTCAGATGATATCAGGTTGGAAGATTCTGCGGGCGAAAACACTACAAATCTGAAGCTTTTTCTGGCACTGCTACGTGTGCCTTTTATGTTTATACTCTTCTTTTGCACCCATACTTCCCTGACTACGACATTTATCCTCGTTACGATGCCGAGAGGAACTAAATGGCGTTTTCCCTTATATCTAGTTCTACTTTCCGCTTCATATTTGATCCTCCGAACTATTATTGTAGCAATTTCTCTTTCTTTTTCTCATGTCTTAGCTTTCAATTCGATTTCACCTGACATATGGATACTAGTATGCGCTGCGGTGCTCATGCCCCTACAGCTCCTTGTTGTCTCTCTGGAAGCTTGGGCTGAAAAGAAGCATCTGTCAAAGCGGATGGCTTTCCTTGTTAGAAGCGTCTTCCTACTCTGTCTGAGCCCTTTTTGCTTGCTCTTGAGTCAGTTGCTCTCATATACGTATGTCAACCTCTTCTTAGGCGGTTTTCTGTTCTCTTTCCATGTATGGTCTGTCATGGGCCTTTGCTTTGATGGCTGCAGACATTTGTTCGATACGGCTTTGGTTAGACAAGCGCTGTATTGGCGGAATCTTAGGTGGATGGATATCGGCGTTCCACTCCCATATTCCGCCCCCGCATATCCGCCCCCTCAAACCTGACTCAACTCACTCACCATTCGTTCAACTGCCACTCATATACAGAACATCTACTACAATGGGCACGATCTCAATAAGAAAGTTCATCCGCTGGCTCCCAGATGAAGCTTCAGAGCCAACATCGACTATAGTCGTCACATCACCACGCCTCAAACGCTTCGTCGATCTACGGATTCTCCTCCCCGATAACGACCCATCATGGACCGGCCAAGATGGTAATCGCACATTCTGACTTCTCCAATCTCACATAACTAACACCCTCAGACCCCCTTCCTCTATCCCGTCTAGACTGGGCCATAGCCGGCACAACAGTATCTACCAAAATCCCCGACCCAGAAGGAAACTTAACTTCCCACTCAACGTTCCACCAATGGATATCATCCCGCACTCTCGACTCCGACTCCGGCTTCATGTACCCTCAACCGAATGATCTCACCCTAGAAAAGGGAAGTATGGTTAACCCCGATACTGGAATCGACACAGCGTATGAAGAGCTATGGCACGATGCTACGCCGACGGCAGTACCTGGCGAACCAGCTGTCAGGGCGCTTGTTCTTCAAACAGAGGATGAGAAGAACGGAGTGAGGGGGTCAGTAGTGAGGGGGTCAGTAGTGAGATTGGGATGTTATGCGCAGGGGCTGATCAGAGTTGGAGAGAATATTTCGCTTGAGAGATGGGTGTGGAAAGACGGCTGGAAGAGGACTGTTAGGATGGGAGATGCGGATTTGCCGATTGAGAAGATTCTGGGTGAGGAGGCATTGAAAGAGGGGGATACGATTGATGTTGGTGGGAGAGAATGGAAGGTTATTGAGGCGAGTGGAAAAGACGAGTCAAAGCTGTGATCACTGTTCACATGATCTGGAACAGTCAACTCAAATACACTCATGGGAGCCTCAACTATCATGAACGCAAACTCTCTCGGTCCGTTCGGCCGAGTCTGAAATGTATTCTGTCTACACATTCGTGTAGCGGTACGTAACAATCCTTGAACTCTCACACTAATCACTACAGCGATGCTCTCTCGCATGCCGTCTCCATCCAATCCATTTAGGTCCTCTTCTGGTAGCTTTTGTCTTTCCTCCCCGGTCTTTCCGTCATCTAGTAGAATCCCCCATCTAGGTAATCCACCGCTGAGCATCGCAAAGAAACCCTTTGTAGAACTTGATCCTCCTCTACTCTGTTCCCTGCAACGAAACCCGCTCCGGGGACTTCCTCGTCCCAGCATGCTTCTTATAAAAACTCGAAACAACATACGTAGAAAGTTCCACGATGTGAAAGCAAAACGCCCGTCCATGGTTTAAACAGTTGTGTTCGTAATCGATCAACATCTTGGAAACCGAAGCCTGTAAACACGGCGCATTCAAACAGTGAAAGCGCAAACGATATCGCAATGTGAAGCTTAGACAGCCCAGCTGCCTCGCCGTTCTCGGACACCCCATCCAACGGGGTCCATGCTGTCGAGGTTAGGGTGCTGTCTAGCCCACTCTTTAATATAGGATTGAAGAGCATGCCATCGAGGGCATCTCTGATCGCGAGGCTTATCGGCCTCTGATTCGACGAGGTGTCCTTGAGCAAGCTGCTTCTCATCATCTCTCTCAAGGTCCTCAATACTCATCAAGCTTATCCGTGAAAGCTCGCCATCGAAAGCGCGTGCCATGGCGGGATAGCCAAGTGATAGATAGTTGTACACTTGAGTGACAAAGCTGTCATCAAACTCCTGATCAATCTTATCTTCGAGCTCTGCATGTGCCTTTTCCTTCTGCAGGCGCTCATTAATACCATGCAGCATGTGGAGACCCTTGGGGGGACCGGCCCGTGTCCGGTGCTGCGCTATGCCGTTGACCTGGCCATTGGCTGCTCCGATCATGACAGGCTCGTCTGTGTATGGTGGAGAGCTGATTTTTGAAGCGTCACCGGGAGTGGCCGCCGGTCTGGGCGTGGCGAGCATCGGTGGGGCATGCAGGTCTGCTGGCACCAGGTAGTTGTCATTTGAGTCTGATCTGAAGCAATAGCCTCTCCAGAGACCATTCTGACCCGAAAGATCCCGGAACTTCTCTTCGGCATGGCGTTCTGCGAATGGGTGATCGGGCTCGAGCTTCGTCTGCTTGGGAGACGGACACCTCCGGAAGACGAGATCTTTGCCGAGCATGGGCGGTGTGACACCCAGACGCTTCTTCTGGAACGAGGGAGCAGGCGATCCGCGTCCGAAAGGTCGGTATCCGAAGGGTCGGGCGAGGTTGCGCGTGGCAGCAAAGCCGCCGGTGTCTGGAGGTATTTGAGAAGCTTTGGCGTACGGGACATCTGCAGATCCAACGGCCGGGGCCGATGGGATGAAGGGCATCGTAGATTCGCCAATGTGTCGGGATGCTGCAGGTGCCGGGGAAGCTGCTTTGCTGCGTTGCTCGGCTGTCAAATAAGATTCTGTGTCAAGCAACGGCATATGCGTCTCACCAATCGGGCCACTGACACCGATCGATGACCGCTTGCTACTGCTATCACGAGGGGTGTTGGAGGTGGTCCACATCGGATCCGGAGGAGGTTCAAGGTCCATTGCATCGAGGTCTGCGGTATCGGTTCGCATCATAACATCCTCGTCCTTCTTAACCGCTGGTGCTTCCACTGTAGGTTCTTCAACTAGGGTGTCCATATCCTCGGGCTTCTCGTCAATCGCCATAGCATCTTCATCTTTCTGCTGCTGTTCCTGCTCCTGCTTGGCCTCGACATGCTCCTGCATGTGTTTATGCCACCAGCCGAGATTGCTGTCGGATGATTGCCGCCGCACATTGTGATGGTGTTTGACGGGGTGGCCATGGTGATCATGCATGGGAGAAGTGCTCTCGGGAGATTGGTCGCTTCCTGAACTCTCACGGAAGTAAAAATGGTCGACATTTCCTTCACGAACGTGGCTGTTGGGGAAAGCAGCCAGAGCGGCCTCTTGCATCTGGCGCTCCGCCTCCTTCGCAGCAATCTCTAGCAAGAACGAAACGACATTTTCATCCTCGGATTCGCGACGTCTGGGGCCATTGGAAGGAGATTCGTGGGCATCGTCTCGCCGTCTGCCGCGGTGTTTTGTGGCGGTGTAAATGTTCTTTGTGTAAGGCGTAATGTCGGTCTTGTCAGAAGGTTTGGTTGCAGGTCCTGCATCTCCAACTCTACGGCTTCTACGGGAGGACTCGATCAACTGAGGAGCGAAGCGTCGCTTTGGTCGCTGCTCGTGCTTCTTTTGCAACTCGTTCAAGCCAGGAGATGGAGAACGAGGCGAGGGCTCGGGTGTAGGTTCGGGATTAGGTCTCATTGTGCAAGGCGTCTTTTTCTCATCTGATCTGTTGCTTGATCGGCTGGTTGAAAATGTGGTCTCAATGGGCTCTGGAACAAACCGTCGCCGAGGTTTGTCTGTCGTGGCCATGATGAGGGGAGAGAAAAGAAAAGACCAGGGTTCGGGGATAGATGACTCGTGCGGACTTGACTGGGTTGATGCTCGTTCGTACTTGGCCTACGTTGCGCTCGCTCGCTCGCGGTGCCTGTGCCTGTGCCTGTGCCTGTCCTGTGCTTGTGATGGAGGGGCAGGGGGGGACAAAAACAAGTGAGTAATAGTAGTATCTGCCTTAGGTAAGGACAATGAGAAGACCGCAATTGGGGTAGACCGCAAGATGTTTCGGTGGAGGAAGGGTAAAAGGCTTTAGTGGGAAGGGAAAAAGAAGAAAAGTAGAAAGGAGATTAAAAAATGTGAAGGTGGTTTGCTAAGGTTTGGTTCAACTAGTGACGACAGTGAACTCTGCTCTGGTAGAGAAAAGCAATTGGAATAAGGGACTCCGACTGCGCGGGCGACCTTGGTTTTAGCAACAACAGAGGCCAGAGCAAAAGAGCGGGCGGGGCGATAGAGGCACCTCACCTCACTAACAGTACCAGGATAGTCTGTTTTCGGTAGTAGAGGTACATGGATGGAATTGTCTCTGATCCATCCATTCATTCTCTTGGTGACGAGACGAGAATGGAAGCGGGAAATGGCTGGCGTCCGACGCCGGCGGTCACAAGTTCACATTTCAGTCAAATCAACGGGCAACGAACCCTTGTCAATGGATGGAGTGTCAAGTCCATGTCCGGTCAGACTCTATTCTCGCATTGGAAGTGCCGCCACAAACTATCGAACAGACCAAGACCAAGACCTAAGCCTCGCTATCAATTGTCCAGCTGCCATTCACGGCCTCAAAATCATCATATGTTTTAGAGAATTATAGACGACCAACTAAAAGAATCACCAAATTACTTATCTGTCTTTACTGAGTTTCTTGTTTTTCAGCATCTCATCCCACATGCCTCCTTGAATGACACGACGCGGACACCAGTTCCCGAGGCAAAAGTGCAAAAAGACCCCTGGAACACAAGGAGAAGGGTCTGCCGGCCCAGCTAACGTTAGCCAGCCCAGTCCAGCGGGCACCTCCAGTAACTCAGAACCCAGGCGCCTGTCATACCCTGAAAATCAAAACTGGAACAGGTCCCCTCAGATCTTGAAGTGGGTGGCAATGATGATATTCATTCATGGTCCCATTTTCAGGGGCCGCGTCAAGCGCACATCGTATCTGGGCACTGCATTTTCCCTTTGTCGTTCACAAACAGGGCGCTCAAATTCTCATAATGTGAGGCTCGCGAGAGTGTCTCTGCTTTCTACCCCAGCATCAAAAGCGGTTTCCCCGTGGGAATCATGTCTCGTTGATTCTGTCAAGCCAAGCCCTGACCAGTTCTTGGTGGGGTGTCTTGGAGTCCGTCAAGACCATGGTGGGGTTTCATTAGCATGGGATATCAGGAGTAGATGGACAGTGTGAGAGTCGCCAGAGTCAGGATATTACTGTGCTGAGGTCATCTTTTCAGCCCACGATAGTACTGAGCTTCACATCTGACTCAGAATATACAGTACTTTACTCTTGAGCTCACACAGGTAGGTTACTTCACTCAATGCCCTTTGATTCATTAATGTACTCAGATTAATTGCAATGTCAGCTCCCCACGTCCAACAATTCCAATCACACCAACATGCAAGCAATCGTCCCTCATGTGGCTATCATCGACCAGGCCTCTATGATCTCATCCCAAGACCAACCCGCGCAATAAAACACCGTACATAACCAAGCCAAGACCTCTAATACAAGCTCGCCACCCGCCGTCCGCGTCCGCCCGGGGGGCTCTGCTGGTGTTCCCGCCCGGGCCCCGAAGCCGCAGAGCCCCGGTGAGAAACACCCATCCCAAGAAACCTGGAAACAATCAAAATGGACATCGACCCGCTGCTAGGGATTGACGTTCCTGCAGTTCCGTCCTCACCGACTATTTCAACTCCATCTGAACCGAAACTCTGAAACTATTGTCAAAAGCCTAGACGACTAGATCAGGACAAACTGAACTAGACATGCACAAAACTTCAAAAGAGGTGTAACCAAGGTCCTCACTAAAAGGCCCGTAAACTCGTGGCCATTGTGGCGACCAGTCCAAGAATAAAGAATTCTCATGACTTTGTCTCTTATCTTTTCTCAAAAGACAACAGCGATTCTGATTGTTACGCTGTAACCCTCCATCGCCAGGTCCGTATGTCACAGGCGTCACACCCTCGCCAAGCCAGAGCCTCAAAGGCGCCCCCTTCTCTGCTGTGAGATCTGATGTTGGTTGCAGTTGCAGCCCTAGATGCGTGTTACTGTTGAGGTTCTGTGTTACACGGCAGCCACGCCATTATTTCGTTGAGGATGAGCTGGAATTTAGTCTCAGAAATTTCCGACAATTGATTCTTTGTATGTGAGTCAGTGTAATTGGCATGGCGGTATCTCCGTGTTATTATGTCTCTTTGGCTGAAATTGAAGCCATCGTGAAAGTTCAATAGAACCTCGACTTCGTAAACTCAACCCCCCACGCGACACAACCATTACAGAGTTTTCTCATACGGGCACGCAGCACACACACTTTCTTATGCCGTCACATCCAAGGCAGCCACTCACCCTTCTCAACTTGACAACCCTCCCTCACAATACGATACCGTAGCGTGCTCTAGTTCAATTTCTCCAGCGGCTTCCGAAAGCGATAACTTGAGAGTCAAGATCTGAGCACAGCAGCCACAACAAGTCGTTGCATTCGAACTGTGCACACACACTCCACTGCAGTGCAACAAAGCTTCACTTGATGTTTCCATCACCGACCGCTCAGGTCTCTTGCTTTACAGTGCAGTAGAGTACATATTCCCCGTTGATCCCCCGCACTCACCGCATCAGCCCGGCCTGGTTCAATGCTTGTTTTCCGGAAGCCCTGCCGTAAGCTAAAAGTACACGAGACCCTCTAAGCATCATGGATCTAAACCTCCGCCATTTCATATCACGAAGAAACACGAAATCCCCCAGCCCTTGGAGTTTTTCCTGTCCATCTGCTGAGGCCACGCTCTCCTGATGTTGTTGAGTTAGAATTATCCCGGTCCGTCGAATCAATTGCGGCTCTTTTATCCCGTGCCCCTTGACCTCAGGTGATACCCGCATCTTGTTCCAGCTTTGTATTTATCCAATTACACGTGGGCTATTTTCCATGCCATCTCACTTTTGGCAATTCGGTAAAATTGAGTTTTCGGTCAATAAGAGAAAAAACAACATGACTTGTTCTCTCGAGATCTTGATGACTTACATGGATCTCTTTGTCTTGTGGTGCTACTTGATGCACACCGCTTGAAGACTGAAACTTTGATCTCTTTGTTCTGCCATCAATGTTGTATTCTTGTAAAAGTTTGTTGCTTCGTCTCCCATTCAACGAAGGACTCAATGCTGCTCTTTGTGGCATCTCAAACCGTGGCAACGAACCTTGGCCTGTGTTATGTATCACATGGAAGTCGTGGTACCCCAAACAGCATCGAGATGTCTCACTTCCCCATCATTTCCACGCCGAAGTCGGCATAGCTATCCCATCAACGGAGTAAACTTCCAGCTGAGATCGCTTGCAAGAGATACTTACCCCATCATCTTGAGATCAACTCCACTCGCCATGTGTTTCTAAGATTCAAGTTCGCCTCCCAAATTCTCGATAAGTCTAGGCCTAGAGCATCAGCCCTGAATTAACCTTTTGTGCAAACGAAGCCCATTGCCTTCTGGAATGCGGTTCTACCATCTAGCCAACCGCCTGTGTTGAAAACGCTGATCTTCAACCGCGGATCATAAAGGGTCCGTCGTACAGTCAGAGTTCACGACGTCAGTTGTTTCCCCGAGTCGTGCTTCAAGATCTACAAGTCCTGTTTCACGTGCGCGACTCATTGAGCTGGTCTGTATCGATTTGCAATTGACCTTTGCGGAGAAGCGGAGAATGATTGTTTCGCAGGGTCTTATCACGACGTGAAGCTTGTAACTTTATTCCAACGAGTCACTATACTTTTGAGATTGTCACTTGAGGGGAGAGTCATTTTGTAACGTTGGTGGAATATTACCATCTACAGTATTCGATATCACGATGGAAGCGCCCGTTCTCAGTGCGACGATCATTCATCTTGGCCTTCCTTCACCCCCGAAAGCTTCTCGTATTAAGCGTCGATATTGGCGATCTACAAAAATAATCGTCGATCTAAGTACAATATCCTTTATGAGGCCATGACCTTATCAATTGGTGTCGATCTTTGCTCTCTCGCTCGAGGAGTCATGGTTTTCAGCATATGAGCGGCTGCTCTTCGCCCGGGTAGCCCAAACTGCGCGGCCATCAACAGTTGAAGAAAGCGATGACCTAGTTCAAGGACAGGAATTAGGACTGTTTTCTTGAGAGAATCTCAGATGCTGGTTCAATGAACCGTGTCCCTCGTTCTCGTTTATTTTGCACCCGACTTTGCTGTTGATTAGTGAGCGGTGATGTTGGAGAACCGCACGAGCGACCCGACCTCCATGTGATAGCAGGCAAACGCTGTATAGACCAGAAAGGTTCTCATGTGCAACCGCGGGAGCAGGATGACATCGCCCTAATCAGTGAGAGGTTTTGATATGCTGGCACTTTAAGATGCAACGTGCTATTCGGCTGGCCAATCGAAGATGAGTCGACTCAAGGATCTTGCGAACTTAGCTGACCTAAAGCTGTCTTTATATCCTCGAAGAAAATATGATCTTTCGGCCAAGACTAACTCCTTATGGGCAATGAAATACAATTTCTTGACACAATGGCGTGCTGTCGACGATGTCGCAGTACCATGAAGTCGTGTTGATAATTCGAAGGCTGTAATAGCGACGTCTCACGCATCGAATAAGACTGCACCCTTTGTTTGAGGGTTTGCACCGTTGGTTCTGGTGTCAAACGAGACTCGGTCTTGCAAACCGTTGCATAGTAGGTATATCTCATAGACAAACGGTTGCTCAGTCGAAAGGTCCTCAGAAGATCAGGCGGCTAATTGTGCTCGCTTATAAGAGAAAGTTGTGCTGTCAAACTCAACAAAGAGTATCATTTTATCTGCCATCCAACTGCCGAGCCCCGCTCCCCGGAGTCCTCGCAACCCTCGGACAGCGGTAGATGAGGAAAGAGGCAAAATCTGGGGAAATATCATCTAGACGATGTGTAACTAAGTTAGCCGATGGGTGCTACTCAGAGAGTCAGGCCATACTAAGTGAGCTGAAGCCATGGTATCAAAAACACCATGAATTTCTCGCACAGCTCGTTCTTCAACGTTATTAACTTCAGCATTTCTAAAAGAGCTGATTAATTCACAAAGTAATTAATAATCTCATCTTACAAATTCCTGCACCGGGTCGTCATAAATATCACCCAATCCCCCCCAGAAGTCTCAGCCAGGTCGTCATCTCACGCCCTCAACTCCACGACTCGGTCGTCATATTAGCAAAAACAGCATCGCCTCGGGCGTCACATCGGCATTTGTCAAGCATTTTTTTACTCCCTTGAATCGAATGTTTTGTCAGCTTCATGCCGCTATACCGAAGGAGGCAATTTTTTCCACACTCGATCCACTCGCCAAGCATGGTCAATGACGGGGCAAGCGAGATTTCGAGATACTACAAAGCGTGATGGTATCCTCTGATTTTATTTTTTCTTATATTATAGCCTCGGTTTACGATTAGACGGTTAAATATTATTGTTATCTTATCTTGTCTTATCCCTTTTTTAATAAATGTGTATATCATGAGTCGAACTGATGAGGAGAATCCTGGGGTCCAGGCTGGACGGAGCCGGGACTCATCGATGGATGTTGAGAAGCTCGGTCGTCAACGACCTGAAGTGTTTAAGTCAATATGGGCCGAACTAGGATTTGGTTTCTCTGTTTTCTGCTCGATGCTAATGGCTGTAAGTTCTATATCTCATGATCATCGTTCTATATCACACCACTGTTCTATGCAGACACTGACATCATCAGGAATTCTTCGTCAGTGGATTTCATGTTATCCTTCCACCATTAGCCGAAGAACTCAATATCCCAGCTGCATCACAAACATGGCCTTCAAGCGTCTTCTCCCTCATCACAGGAGCCATGCTTCTACCTATGGGCCGTCTAAGCGATATGTATGGCGGATACATTGTCTTTAATGGTGGTCTCCTGTGGTTCTTGCTCTGGGCTCTCATTGCTGGTTTCAGCAAGAACTACATGATGCTTATCTTCTGCCGAGCTCTTCAAGGTTTTGGCCCTGCTGCATATCTTCCTGGTGGCGTTATGCTGATGGGCAAGTTCTATCGTCCTGGACCTCGAAAGAACCTCATCTTCGCTTTATACGGAGCATTTGCACCGCTAGGATTCTTCTTTGGTATCTTTGTTGCAGGTCTGACAGCAGAGTTTCTTGATTGGCGCTGGTACTTTTGGATTGGCACTATCGTTTTTGCTGTCGTTTCTACAGTTTCACTTCTCGCTGTACCCTTCGACTACCGCGACAGAAATACCGATATCCCTATGGACTGGTGGGGTGTTGGAACTATTGTACCAGGCCTTCTCCTCGTTGTCTACTCTCTAACAGATAGTTCGCATGCTCCCCACGGCTGGGCTACACCCTATATCATTGTCACATTGATACTCGGTGTCATGTTCCTCGCCAGCGCATGGTACGTCGAAACGCATAAAGCCCGAGTTCCTCTATTGCCAGCCGACCTCTTTGCGCCCAAGGGAATGAATCGTTTGCTAGCCGTCCTCTTTATGGCTTTCGGCACCTTTGGGCTCTTCCTCTTCTATTCGAGCTTCTATATGGAGTTGGTATTACATAGGTCACCACTCATCACTGCCGTCTGGTACATTCCAATGTGCGTTGGTGGTCTTATCATCGGCACCGTCGGAGGCTTCACATTACACTTCCTGCCAGGACGAGTGTTGCTTTTCATCTCGTCACTGGCCAATGCGATTACCATGTTGCTGTTCGCCCTCATGCCTGAAAATCCGAACTACTGGGCTTGGGTTTTCCCAGCAATGGTCTGCTGTACTATCGGCATCGACATCACTTTTACCGTTAGTAACATCTTCCTGACGACCAACATGCCGAGCCATCGACAGGGACTCGCGGGAGCTTTGATCAACAGTGTTCTATTCCTAGGAATCAGTTTCTTCCTCGGTATTGCAGACATTGCGGTTGCAGAGACGGCGAACCTGGGACTTCGAAAGAGCTATAAGGTGGCTTTCTGGCTAGCCTTCGGCGTGGCATCGATTCCGTTACTCTTCATCCCGTTCATTCGGATTGGGTCCGCTAAGAGCGAACTCACGATGGACGAGCGGCAGAGATTGGAGAATTCAGGCCCATCCGTGGGAGAGTCGGAGGCGGAGGGGGAAGCAGAGACACGACCTCAACCGCAGGAGCCGAAGACTTGAGATGGATGGTAATTCAGCACATAAAGGGCAGGGAGTTAGGAATTGGATTTCGAGTGATAGATATCCATGGATTGTACTTAAGACATAACCAGCGTTGCATATAGCATCTTATTTAGGAAACACACAGATCGGTTTCGTTCTAATGACAGCCCTCGAACTGTATTACTCCATATATGAACATGACGTCTCGAAAAAGGAGAGCGGCCATTATTCATGATTGATGCTCTCTCATGGTTGAACAATACCTTTTTATCTGCATTCCATGCCGTGTAAACGCTCACTGCACCATGAAAGCCGAAACTACCGCTGTTAAGTCTAACGTTGACATGCAGTTGAGTAAGATCTCCCTGGTCTATAATAGTAGATCTAGGTACCGATCAAACTCCGCGAATGAAACGTGATTTACCCCATCGGACATTTCTGCTTCAAGCCTGCTGGGTCGAAGATAGCACAGAAGCAAGCACGCAATTCAGGAAACATTGGCCAGTTTCTGATTGAACATCTGTCCGTTCAGTCTTGAATCGCCAAAGAGCAACATGAGTCGAGATAATAGTAAAAAAGCTCTCCTAATAATAGAGCCCCAACTGCCGCTGTTTCAGGACACCCATAACAAAAACATGACCCGGCAACCCGGGTTTTGGACAAGAAGCCGATTGCAACAGTAACATCACGATGTAACTGGACCCTCCGGAAGATAGCGGCTCTCTTACGCAGAGTTGAGTTGCTTCTTGGTTTCAGACTTTACCATTTTAGAGCTACAACGCAGATACAAAGGACCACATGCCCCTGCATGAAATGATGAGATAGCGACGTATTCCCTGGCTGCCACCTGTTTAAATGACCAGGATCCAACGTGGTGAACCAGGGGTGCAGGCGCCACAATGTGGTTTTCTGCAACAGTGGCTGGCAAGATAATGAAACCGGCAACGGGGTTGCAAATGGCGGTTTTGCAGATGAGAAAACGTTGACAAGAGTTTGTGTCGTTGAGGCTTGACCGTTGCGAACTGCTGGAGGCGTTTTTGATGTTGAAACCACGATAATCCTGGTCAAAACAGCCCAGAGCTTTGGTGTGCCCATTAAAACCCCTGTCGATGATCGAGATTGAGAGGTAGCCCAGATATCAAAATTCTTGATATACTGTTACAAGCCAAGACATTGCCGACCACTTGTTCATTTATTGCTGTAAGCGGTGCGGCACGGAGCGAGGTCAAAGTCTGACATTAGTCGTCGTCATCATGGTCGAATCTTGATGCGCACGCCGTTCGTTTTTCACCGCGACATTGCTTCAGCCAAGCCAAGCCATCTGCGGCTGCTTTGCAGTTGAGCGGAGCATCCAGGGACTAGCACTAAAGGTAGCATTGGGCCTATGGGAAACCGCAAAAGCCATGAGGAACAGGGACTAGAAACTTGGCCGCGGGTGGATTCTTCGGTAGAGTTGGCGTTGAACTCCTCTGCCGCTTCCGGGGAACCAAAAACAGGGCAGAACATGACGAAAAGATGGTGGGTAACTATTTCAGCGTAGGATTCGACAGTTATCAGCGGCGCTATCCAAAGCCACAGCCAGAAAATGGTATCTTGTTGATGACCATTGGAAGATTATTTGTTGTTTTGTTAGATCATGGAGGGTTGAGAAATCTGGGGGATGAGCCTGGGCCCGCATGCGAAACGAGGTAAAACATGCGAGAGAAAAGTCTTCTTTTTTGTTTCTTTTTTCGGTATTAGATCATTGGTCGACGGGGAAAAAAGAAGGATCAATCTTGTGGAGACTGGCGTTTCTAGTTTCCGATGGTTGGTCGAGTTACATTGAATGGATGGAAATGAGAAAAGAGACCCATAACATCGCGATCTGATCATTTCTCAAAGTCAAAGAGATCTTGAGAGAGGTACGGGGCATGTATTATCGTAAAGGTATCAAGGGATGCTGTTGTTGCAATATCAGCTGAGCCTTATAGCAGATCTAGGCATGCATTGGCTTATCGAGCCATCCCTTTAGGATTGATCAAGTTAGACTTGTTCATGGGCGGGTTTAGTGTAGATTGTAGAGTGTGGCATCCCATGCCGTTCTCAATCATTATGGTAAAGCTGCCTTCTCAGAGTGAAGCCTCAACTCTGTTTTAACTTTTAGGTTTAAGATTATTTACTTTGACTGTTCCATAAACAACATTCACTCACTCATTTTGCGCGATTCAATCAACGTCTCATCCATTGAATTGACGGATGAAAAGTCTTGGTATCGTCCCACTTAAGTCACCGGGCAAGCATCCTTCTCCAACTTCCAACTTTTTACAACTTTGCGACATTGGGGTCCTTCTTTTCTTCTTTGCGCCGATACCATTGTTACGCAATACAGCGGACCAATCTCTCTGCCAACATCAGCCGTACCGCGACCTGTACAACTCTGACCGACCCTTTATCTCGTTGTTTGCTTCTTGTACGCCTGGGAACTTGCGTACTTGTCTGACCTGAGAGGTGCATACACGACCGTGCACTGCGCTTCAACGATTATATCGACTCTTTTAAAGCTTCCTCGTCGCACTGCGCCTGCAAATGCGCGCCGTCAGGTACGAGCCAATTCTCCTCGTAGCCACTTTTTTTTTCTTTTTCGTTCCCTGCATCCATCGTCTCATTTCATCTCATATCTGTCTTCTTGTTTGTCTTTGTCTTGAGTTGCGGGCCTTTCCGAGCGTACCTGGTTCGCTCGGTACCTGGATCATCCTGTCTCTCCATGCGACGCGACCCAGCATTGAAACACCCGGATACCTTTCTACTTGGCTTGTGCGTTGCGCTACATTACCAATTCGATCCAGCTAATTCATCTTTTTTTGCAGTGCAAGTCTGTGCTGCGCTGGCAATAGTTATTATACTCTCCAGCCATTTCGGTCTTGCTTATATCAAAGTCGACGTTTGACTCCCCGCCTTGTTCCCGTTTCTACAAGGACCCCTGCCTTCAAATATCCGTTCGTCAAACTCTGGACAAAAGTCTCGCCGTTTTGGACCAGCCATCCTAACTTTACTTCTAGACATCTTCGCGCTGTCGCGCCGTGACCTTTTTCTTGATCCAATTCTCTTCATCCAACAGCTTCAAGGTCCTTGCGCTCGAGCTCTCGACCCTGGTCTGACACCGGCTTCCCACTATCGTCAAGCTACTACCGAAACCGCGACACCTGCAGCAGACTATCATTACAGCACACCGACTTCAGCCCAGCATATCATGGGATGCTGACCCGTGACCTTCCATTACCACGCTACAAACTACAGTTCGATAACAGTTGTCAGTGCATTCGCTCTGCCGTGTTGTGCTGCGCCGTCGTCCTTGATTACATTCGGGTACTTGGTACCGAACTTGGACAATCTTGTCCATTTATATCCAATTCCCTGTCTGGAACGACGATCCGGATGCTAAGCGCATCCTTGCTTGATAAGAATTAACACAAAGGCAGCTTCCTCCCTGCCTTGTTCGGTTGGCGCAGGATCGCTCGACTTTTGCGCTCACCAATCAGTCATCATGACTTCTCCAAAGGCTACAATATCCGACCGCGGCCAAGAGAACGACGACACCCTTATGGAACCTGTACTATCATCTCTTCTTTCAACGCCTCAAACAACAAGTCCTGAGCTGGTCTCGTTTCAGTCGCTGGCCGACCAAACATCAACACCACTCAGCATAATGGACGATTCATGCTTTCTCGACATCGACAAATCCATCTCGAATGGTCTTGAGTCAAGCAGTGTTAGTGCTGGTCTCGACAAACCCATAGCGTCATCCAACCAATCGCCAGTGATTACAGCGGGGTCGCCCGCTAGACCTTCGGACCCTAGCACTAAGAGCCAGCGCAACGCAGATCCTCTTGGATGTACAGGGACAGATGCAGATGGCGGCCTCGCCGAACAGACACGTGCCGCTCATGAGGATAACGTTTCTGGATCAATCGAGAAGGAATCAAAGTTACAACAAACTTCTAATCGGCAATCGTATTGGAGATCCCAAGAATACGACCAAACAAAGCCATTAAAAGTCGTTGCGCAGCCAAAAGTCATCTCGCCAGCTGGAGCTGCATCAAATACGACAGGCTTCGCTGCCCAAAATAGCAGCGCCCCATCAAATATCGGCGACACCAGTCTTTGGTTCAGGGGCCCTCATTCCGATCAGCACGAGTATCGAATAGATAGTTCCAGCAGAAATCAGCAATACGAGACTGCTCCAGCATCTGTAGGGCCTTTATCGGTTGAAAGGCCCCCTGCATCAGGGATAGCCACAGCACAGGCACAGGCAAGCAGCCACTGTAGTGCTACTCAGGGCGCCACCCAGGCCATGTCAAGCACGGCCTCCACTAGCAACAATTCTGTTCCCCCTGGGCATCAAAGACACCGCAACGGCCATTCCTCACACGACTCCCGCGACAACGACTTTCCTCCCTCTCACACAACATCCCTTTCTTCTCGAGTTGGTGGCATAAAACTCGATACGAGTTTTGTCAAGCCCACGCCAAGACCCATTGTTCGTACAGCGCCCGATTCCCCTTCGCTCAATATCCAACATCCAACTCCCGACATCACCTCCCAGGCTCGATCTGGAGCATACGTCGGGAACATCGCACAACTCGAAGCGACCGCCGAACGATTGTCTATGACCAGTTCTATCGACGATGCGATTCGAGATTTACATACTGAATTAAAGCGATCCGATAGCAGACGTTCTTCTATCCTTGCTGCCAGCGTCAAAGCCTCAGGCTCCATTGACGATTTCACCAGTAACCCCGGCTCCGCTATCGAACAACTGAGACGACATCCTTCCATCGCTTCGTCTATCGTTTCTACAAACAACGCTGCACGCCACGGTGGCTATTCTCCCGGTGGATACGTACTTTCGCCTAATCACTCCTTTACCGGACGTCTTCGATCAGGATCCAAGAATTCGGCTGGCCGACCAGACTTTGATCTCGATACAGTTTTATCCCGTCACGGCCCAGGCAAGGCATCTGTTAGAAGTGTCCGGTCGACGAAAGTCTCACTTGCTGAGATCTCGGAATCAGAACCTATTGCACTAACCCAAGACGTCCTCGACATGGCCGACAAATCTCCTGTCAAGAACCCCGAGGGTGAATCTCTCCTCCCCGATGAACTCCGCGATGCCAACATGCCCGCCACCGACGTATTCCAAAATATGATGGGAGACGACGATTTTGTGAACCACAAGAATGAGCATCCGCACCCCGACGCAAGCACTGGTCTTCTTGCAGATCAAGAGTCTAGGGATCCTCAGCGACCCGGAAGTTCACATTCCGATACAACTTTCCAACAATGCCAGGATGCATTTGGTGACTTTGATGGTGTTCACTGGGTGCCCGAGCAAGATGATCCTTACTCTCTTCCCGATGATCTGGAACCTCAACCCCAATCTCGACCTCAACAGCGACAAATGCACCATTCCGATAATGTTCGGCCACAGTCTTACTTTGACCCCGAGTCCGGTCAACAGATGCTTTACTACCCTGCTCGAGTTCCCGCCATGCTCAACCTACCTCCCAAGCTGTCTAATAAACCCAAGGCCAACGAAAGAAATAAGCGACGCTCCCAGGTGATGAGTGCTATGTTCGAAGGCAATAGGCAATCGAAGATGCTAGATGCGGATGCAAAGGCACAAGAGCGCGACACTACCAGAGACTCCTGGCTACCTGATCCTCTTGCTGGTCATCGAGAATCATTTGCTGCTTTATCAACCGATGGATTTGGCAATCTGGGTCAGGAACCAGAGACAATCCGTTCTGTGCACTCAGATCAAGATGTTCCTCCTGCTGTGCAACCTGAAGCCAATGCCAATGCTCCGATTGAGACACTGAGGCGCCCTCAACGGTTGTCTCGGAACGAACTTGACAAGCGAAAGTCGAGAATGTCAAACCTGCCACCGCAATTGAGAGCGAGTGCCTACTTTGATCTCCCGGACACCACTCAGGGAGAAATCGAAGTCAAGGACGGCTCAGCTATGGCCACCCTCGAAAGTATTCTGGATGCTTCGGCGAACGCCCCTGTCAGTGCTTTCACCGACCATGAACGTGCCGGCAGACTCGGAAAGGAGGTTTACGGCAAAGAAAAGAAGCGAGCTTCAGTTGCTGCATCCACTGTTCTTCAGCCCGAAGGTGATAAGAAGCATGCCAGAAAACGTTCCTCATTTATGTGGCTTGGCAAACGTCACAGCCATGTCAGTGATGATGACAAGGATCACAAGGCACAGTCAGAGTCTGGCCTGGGTCCTGTCAACGCTGACACAAATGCAAATGAGCATGACGGACTAGCCCGCAGCGTAGATGGTCGTAGCGATGGCCATAGCGATGATGAGCAACAAGCCGCCAAAGAAGAAGCTGAGGACCTGTCTGACGAGGAAGGCTATAATGGACCTCCGACAACGCTTTTGGCCGAGCTACAGTTGCGAAAGCAGCAACAAAAGGAACGCACCCAGCGAACGTTCCCCGGTGGTATGCACGCGACATTGCTGGAAATGGATGCCGTTGCCGAGACTCAGAAAAAGGCAAGGAACAACAAGCGTATTAACCTGGCGTGGGAAGATGGCCAGACACAAGCTGTTGATGAGGATTCCGGTGATGAGGATATCCCTCTGGCTGTTATTGCAGCACGTAACCAGGGTGCAAAGAACGTTATGGATCTGCAACGCCCTATTGGCTTGATGGAGCGTCGTGAGATGGAAGAGAACGAACCTCTCAGTCACCGCCGAGCTCGTCTGCATGGTCAAGATCCTCGGTCTATGATGATTAGCCACAGGCCTAGCATGAACAACCTGAGCGCCAATCATCTTCCTACGACACCTCATTCGGCACACCAATCTGTGGCGCAACTTTCAGTGCAAAATGCATCGACCGAGCCGGATGATGAATTCGAAGGAGAGACTCTTGCTGATAGAAAGCGACGCCTTGCGGCCAAGGAGGAGGCGGAGAACCTACTGCCTAAAGCCCGACCCGTCAGCAGTGCGTTCTCCGTTGAGCTTCTCAATCAGTTCGAGGACCCCGAAGAGAAGAAGAAGAAGGAGGAAGAAAATAAGCCCAAGTTGGGCGAGGAGGAAACCCTAGGTCAACGACGAAAACGTCTACAAGCTGAGCGAGAAGCCCGTGAGCGTGAGATGAGTTTCAACCAGCTGAACGCCAGTGCCGAAGAGGCAGAGGCAGCGGCACCGATCCCAGGTATCAACGGGCGAATGCACCATCTATCAAACGTCCTATCTGCCCACCCTAAGAGGGAGACCAACCAAGCTCAGGAAGAACGCGCGCGTCTGGAACATGAGAGGAGGCTTCTGAGAGAGCGTGACGCTAAGATGGCCGCTTATCGAAGCCAAATGCCGCAGGCTTTGGGTGGTCCTAGCAATGCGCAATCTGGAGGTTATCGTGGAGGCACTTTTAATAATGGCCTTGGTGGCCAGAACTCCCAAGCGGCCATGTCCTCTCCTGCCCTTCATACGCAACTATTCAATCAACCAGCTCTTAACCACCGAAAGAGTGCTGTGTTCAGTACTTACGGAGCTCCTATGCAGCAAGCTCCATATGGCGGTTCAGCAACAAACTTGGGCGCGATGAATATGGGATATAATGGCATGCCTAACGGCATGAGCCCTTACGGCGCTGGTGCCATGAGTGTCTATGGTGGAGGCATGTTGCAACCTGGTATGCAAATGCCTGGACAAGGTGGTTCGTCCAACAGAATCGAGCAATGGCGTCAGGGTGTCCACCCATAAGGAAGTCAATAGCATACTTTGGCTATGGACATCATTTGCAAAAGGTCTTTTATCAAGACGCCGCATCTTGAGATACATCTACTGTACTATTTTGAGGAAACATAGAAA